GAGGCTAGAAACATTGATGAGAGAGAAACATTGACCAGCTGCCTCCTGCACACCTCGTACTGGGGATGTGCCCACAACCAATGTACATGCCCTAGACCAGAATCGAACCTGGGACCTTTCAGTCCGCAGACTTACGCTCTATCCACTGAGCCAAACTGGTTTTGGCTTGATGCTACTCTTCTTCTAAAATATATGATGGGGATATGCATCTCTTTATAATAAAAGTTGTTTTATTTTTGAGACATTTTATAAGTGAGGTGCTAAGGATGTAGACCCTGTTTAAATTTTTAATTCCCCACCCCAAGTTTTATTAAGATATAATTGACATAAAAGATTGCATAAGTTTAAAGGGCAGAACAGTTTAAGGTGTACAATGTGTTGATTTGATACATTTATGTATTGTAAAATGATTATCACCATAGCATTAGTTAATTTTTAATTCTTAGAAAAGGTGGAGCTACCATTTAGCTCTTATTAGTAGAATGGCTATACAGGAGACAGGATCCTAGTCTAGGGCTTAGATTTCAGCATGGCAGCCTGAAATGATCAGTCTCTAAAGATTTAATTCATGCTAAACTTTCAAAAGCTTTAGGTATAAACCAGAGTGTGATTTTATTAATCATAAAAAGACATTCTGCAATAGAAACTGGTATGTAGTTGTAATATGTAGATTGTCACTGTGTTTTACCTTCTAAAAGGCAAATTCAGGCAAGAAACAAAAGGTCAAAATATAAAAGCTGCTACATAAGCATGGAGTTAGTGCAAGGAAAATAGGTTGGGTGACCTTCACAAAAATCGTCATCAAACTTCCCTGGTATATGAATAGCCAGTAGAGGAAAATATCTGACATCATCTGGAACACAATATTCCTTTCCGCAGAACAGTAGGAGAAACATTATGATGTTTCAAGTCTTATTCTTGGCTCACTGCTGACCTAAAGGACTCTGATAACACCATAACACACAAATAGAACTTGATTCAGTTTAAGTTTTTATTTCTTTTCCTTAAAGCTAAAGTACAGTCTAGTCATTCCTGATACTATATACTGATAGTCTTTAAAAAAAAATTTTTTTTTTAGCTTGGGTGTTGTTAAAGCTGAGCAAATCCCTCTATTACTATACCAAACAAACAAACAAATAAATAAAATAATAATGTAACTATGTGAAGTGTTGGATTTATTAATTAGCTTGACTATAGTAATCATTTCACAATTTGTACCTATATTAAGCCATCAAGTTAAATACCTTAAGTATATATACTTTATTGACTTCAGAGAGGAAGAGAGAGATAGAAACATCAAATGATGAGAATCATCAATTGGCTGCCTCCTGCATGTTCCACCCCCTCTGGGATTGAGCTCGCAATCTGGGCATGTGCCCTGACTGAGAATTGAACTGTGACCTTCTAGTTGGTAGGTTGATGCTCAACCACTGAGCCATGGTAGCCAGGCTATATACAATTTTCATTTGTCAAGAATACCATAATAAAGCTGGAAAAATAAAATATATGCTGATTTTGAAAGTGAATAATAGGATTAATAAAGGCTGAGACCTATGGTCATTTTATATGTTTACAGAACCAAAAAGTAGACAGAGCCAGAAATGCTTTAGAATGTCTTAAATTTCTCTTACTTATATATTAGAAAAATAAAGCAAAACATTGACTAATTGTTCTTATTACCTGCTTGCTCCTCATATTAAGTTGAGGGAAAACAGAATTAAAAAATTTGAGTTGGCTAACTAGCAAACCAATGGGTGAGAAACATGGGAATAAAAACAGTTGTTCTTTCTGGAAATGGGATATGTGGGTTGTTCTCAACCACTTTGTCATTGCTCATTGGCTTGCACAATCCGTTGTTAGGAAACATTAAAAGTTCACAACAAAACTTGCAAAACCTGTCAAAAGTTTTTTCAAAAATCTGTTTAAAATTTTCTGCATCTATTCAAAATGAGGGGGAAACATATTCAAATGAAGTTAAGAAAAAGCTTTAACTAGATGTCACCCCACATTTTTTCATTTCTGCCTGAGAGAAACAGTACAAACAACCTGGACAGTATTCTCAGAACTTTAGTGAAAGTCATGTTCATATGTGAGCTGAGGACAACCCCCCTGCTGCTCAGTTCCTTAGCTGAGTGAATCACACAAGTTCAGTGGTCCATGATGCATCAGATGCCATCAGGCAAAAAGATGAAACAGTGTGGTGAGTCTTAGATTTACTGTATTATTGCGGCCCAAAGAGCTAAGGTACAGTTTTATTGTGGGGGAAGCTATGTCTAATTTTGGTAAATCTGATATCAATTTCTTTTGATGGAATGAAAATATCGACCAAATTACAAAAATTTCAAAATAAAAAATATAGTTTACTCGTTTAAAAAATTTGAGTACCGTATAGTTTGGTAATGGTTTACAATTAGAGATATAAGTATGTAATTTTACATAAATGGTTTTTTTATTTTAAGAAATAGTTAATTATATTTTAAAATAACATAATTATGTTCTGTATCTTATCATGCCTCAAATTATGTGGGTTCCCATTGAGATTGATTTAACTAAGTCATTTTACTTATTTTTCTTTTCCCTTTTCAATTAGCAAGTGTTTCCGCTTAAATACTGAGTGTACAAAGGTGATTAGAAAGAGGTGTTGGTTCCCAGGAGAGCATTTAGGAAAGTCTAAATGATGCAATATAGAACATGTACTGCAGCTCACTGTACGTACCCTTGTTCTGAGTGTGTTAATGAAAGAACTAAAGATAGGTTTGGCTCAGTGGATAAAGCGTCGGTCTGCAGACTGAAAGGTCCCAGGTTCAATCCTGGTCAAGGGCAAGTACCTTGGTTGCGGGCACATCCCCATTAGGGGGTGTGCAAGAGTCAGCTGATTGATGATTCTCTCTCATTGATGTTTTTAGCTTTCTATCCCTCTCCCTTTGTCTCTGTAAAAAATCAATAAAATATATTTAAAAAAAGAGAAAGAACTAAAGATAGAAAGCATAATGAGCGAGTGAATAATTGTCATTTCTTCTATACATATTAGCTTTTCTATCAGTCACTTGTCATTTCTTCTATACATATTAGCTTTTCTATCAGCCAGTTTTCATGATTAAGTAAATTACTTCCTTCTGCTCACCAACTCTGAAAAATTAATTTTCAAATAATATAAACCAATTGAAAAATTTAAACTTAGGAGAAATTATTATTTTTATTTATTTATTTTTAATATATTTTATTGATTTTTTACAGAGAGGAAGGGAGAGGGATAGAGAGTTAGAAACATCGATGAGAGAGAATCGTCAGTCAGCTGCCTCTTGCACACCCCCTATTGGGGATGTGCCCGCAACCAAGGTACATGCCCTTGACCGGAATCGAACCTGGGACCTTTCAGTCCACAGGCTGATGCTCTATCCACTGAGCCAAACTGGTTTTAGCAAACTTAGGAGAAATTATTAAAAGTCATTAAAAAAAATTAATTCATCACTACTACCCAGCATTCTCTGTAGTAAAACAAACAATAAAAGAGAAGGGACTGAGGAAAATCGAGAAATACAGTGACAGTACTCTGCAACCCCCTGGTGTACACAGTTTAATCCCTATCAACTCCTTGAGTGTGAGCAGAATCTGTGAACATGATGGTATATCACCATGGGAGAATCACCAAGGTAATATCTGTATTCATTTCTTATAGCTGCATAATAACTTACCATAGACTTAGTAGCTTATAGCAATTCATTTATTATGTCACAGTTCTGTATGTAGGAAGTACAGACACAGCTCAGCCAGATTCACTGAGGATCTCGGAAGGCTGAAACTTTGCTGTGAGCTGGGACTTCAGCATCATCTGAAGTCTGGAATACTCCTGTAAGCTAATTTAGGCTGTTAGAAGAATTCAGTTTCTTGTGGATATATATCCGAAGTCCCAGCCAGAAGGTAGCTCTCATGAAAAGCGATCCTTAGGTCTTAGCCAATGTGGCCTTCTTACAATATGGTAGCTTCCTTCTTCAAGGTCCACAGGAGAATCTCTCAGACTTCTGGCAAGAGCTCACCTTCTTGGGTCAGGCCCACTCAGCACAGTCTCAGATTAGTCCCTCAAAGTCAGCTGATTAGGAATCTTCACTGCATTGCAAAATTCCATCAACTTTGCTATGTAACGTAATCTAATTACAAACATATCATGGGAATATCATCTGGGAATATTTGGCTTGTGGTGAATAATTGCTTAAAAGAGCTCATTGTGGCCTGGCCGGCATGGCTCAGTGGTTGAGCATTGATCTATGAACCAGGAAGTTATGGTTTGATTCCCAGTTGAGGCACATGTTTAGGTTGAGGTCTTAATCCCCAGTGTGGGGTGTACAGGAGGCAGCCAATCAATGATTCTCTCTCATCATTGATGTTTCTATCTCTCTCTCCCTCTCTGAAATCAATAAAAATGAAAAAATAAATTAAAAAAGAGCTCAATGTGAACATGACCCTATAAAAAATTACTATAAAATTTTTATAATCATTTATATAAAATATACATTTTATATAACTTTATAAGTACTTTGTAAATATTCTGCACCCTTTTATTTTCACGACTACTTGTCAGAGAGGTACAGTAAGTATAATCCAATGCTACAGGTGAGAAAAAAAAACCAAGCTCAAAGCAGCTAAGAGACTGACCATAGCTTTTTAGAAAATTAGTAGTGGAGCTGGGCCTTTTCATTCCAGTCCTCTTTTTTGCTAATCCTGTAGTTTTCAAATTGTGTTTGGTGAGGTTCCAAGAAGACGTTTTAGGGATTACTGCACGAATCGAGGGTGGCACTAAGAAGTTCGGGCCAAGCGTTGATATGGCAGCTCTACTTTTGTTTGTTTTGTTTGTTGGGGGTTCTACATAAGCTTTAATAACCACTGCACTGCATCACGCTGCCTTGTTAAAAGTAAAAAAGAATGTTTATCAGAACATTTAGCCTAGAAAATGGTTTTGATAACTGTATATTAAAATGCCAAGAGTCTATTCTACTAAAGTTTTAAGAAGCCATCATTTCTTGCAGCAGCTGTTGGACCTTTTATAAAGACAGAGAGGAAAAACAACAACAAAAAGAACTGTATTAAATAGTTGTTTTGAAGTGCACAATTAAAGAAACAATGACAAACCCACCTCCTTCACTAATTTTAAATAAGTATAAAAAATTAATACCGTCTTAATGTCTGGTCTCTTATTTTTCTTTTCATTCAGACATTGACTGGCAACAGAGTACATAGTTTCAATGGAAGTGAAATCAATGTCATTCATCTTCTTATCAACATAATCTTCAATTGTCTTTTCTTCATCTTCAATTTCTTCTTTAATATCTAGCTGTAAAACAAGTGTTAAACTTTGCGTTTCAAATGAAAATGAAAATAATCAGAACATAAATCTTAATTATTTAGTCTACTTCATAATAATATGTACTCTTTTTTAAAAATATATTTTTATTTATTTCAGAGAGGTAGGGAAAGGGGGAGAGAGAAAAAAAAAAAAAAAACATCAATGATAAAGAAACATTGATTGGCTGTCTCCTGCAAGCCTCCTACTGAGGACGGAGGCCGCAACCCAGGCATGTGCCCTGACTGGGAATCAAACCCTGACCTCCTGGTTCATAGGTCGATACTCAACCCCTGAGCTACACCAGCTGGGCTGTAATCTTATTTTATTGTCTACTATTAAAGCCTTGTTAAGAACGGAAGACATATAGAAGAAACCTTATCTATTTATACATACATACATACATACATACATACTGTACCTCCTAGGTACTTTTCATTTGCGGTCTAATTTTTGTGTTTATGCTACTGAGCTAACTGTGTCATGCTCCCATTTGCAGCATTTACTAGGCTGCCAGAGCAAGGTGGTCTGCTTCTTGATTTGCTCCTGATAACACAGTTCCAACTTCTGAAAACAGACTTTCCTCCCTTCACTCAAACTTCTCTGTAAGTACTCAAACTGTTGAATCAGAGATAGAGGAAGGAGGAAAAGGGAGGCAGAGCCATGGGGGAAAAGTAATGAACATGGAGAGAGGAATAGGACTAGGATGATATAGTGGGTGGAGCAGTGGACCCAAAAACATATAGCCAAGTCTTTTTTTAATTTTTAATTTTATTGATTTTTTACAGAGAGGAAGAGAGAGGGATAGAGAGCTAGAAACATCGATGAGAGAGAATCATCGATCAGCTGCCTCCTGCACACCCCCCACTGGGGATGTGCCCGCAACCAAGGTACAGGCCCTTGACTGGAATCGAACCCGGGACCCTTCACTCTGCAGACGAACGCTCCATCCACCGAGCCAAACCGGTTTCGGCTATAGCCAAGTCTTAATCCCCAGAACCTGTGAGTGTGGCTGTATTTGGAGGTGGGCCCTAAATCCAATGATGAGCATCTGTATATGAGACAGAAAGAGGAGAAAACAGACATCGAAGAGATGATGATGTGATCACTGAGGCAGAAACTGGAGTGATGTGGCTACAGGTCAAGGCATGCCAACAGCCACCAGAAGCTGGAAGAGGTAAGGAAAGATTCTCCCTTAGAGACTCCAGAGGAATGTGGCCCTGACAAAACCTTGATTTCAGACTTCTGGCTTCCAGAACTGTGGGAATACATTTTTTTGTCATTTTAAGCCCGAGTGTGCAATAATTTTTTTTAAAAAAAAAAATATATTTTATTAATTTTTCAGAGAGGAAGGGAAAGGGACAGATAGTTAGAAACATCCATGAGAGAAACATTGACTCAGCTGCCTCCTACACCCCTCCCTCCCCACTGGGGATGTGCCTGCAACCCATGTACATGTCCTTGATCAGAATCGAACCCGGGACCCCTCAGTCTGCAAGCTGACATTCTATCCACTGAGCCAAACCTGTTTTGGCTAATTTTTTTTTTTAAGGCAGTCCTAGGAAACATACAGATGGCAAAGACTATTTTTGTGAGGTGGACTATAAAGTCTCCAGAAACTCTTTCAAAAGAAAAATTTTGAAAATATTTGGGTAATAGCATAATATAGTGCTATTGTTATACTTTCATTAAAATCTTATTACTTTATAGTCATGTCACATTCAAACCTTAAGAATAAGTCACAGAGTATAATCTTTCTTGAAGTATTATGATTTTCACTATTATTTGAGGATCCATAAAACTTGTGACTGAGATGGACTCTATGTCTTTCTGTATTACATCCTTATTCAAAGCAAAATTTCGAGGCTTTTATAATATTTTGAAGGAGAAAAAAAATCTCAGGTGAAAAGATGAAAAATTTTAGGCCTTTAGACAGGCAGGCCTTGCAAAATGTAAGGTAGCAAAATACCTTGTTTTTTAACTGTCCTCCGTATGATTAATCTACACACTCTGCATAATTCAATCCATACCCAGAGCTTCATCTATGCCTATACACAACTGACTCAAACTGCATCTCCAGCCTCGCCTTCTTTCCTGACCACCAACCACCAATGAGACAGAGAGTTTTAAAATTATGTGTACCATGGTAAAAAGTTCATTATAAAAATAATAACTTTTACAATAACACCATGTTCTCTAAATAAGTTTAATGTGAAGTATTATATAACATGTAATTTTGCATTACTACATACCCAGGAAACCATGGAAAGCTTTATAATGTAGCTTTATAATATAAAGTTTCAATCTGTAGCAATATTGTAATAAATATATATTTTATTTCTCATGGCTTTTCTTAAAAGACTAAGTACTCAGCTCTTGAGCATATATAGTATATTTTTGACTTTCTAATCCTCTTCTGGGAAAATAATTTGGTAAACATACATTGTCTGAATTTGTCACACTGGTTTGTCCCCTTAGAACACATTAATTAGAATAAAGTCAGTGACGTTATTTAACTAATTTTAAGAAAACCTTATACATGGAAGCAGATATTTCTATAAATCTTCAGTTTTATAAAAAGAGCCTCTAAGTTCTTAAAATTTACTATATAGGGAAAAGAGGGGAGTGGCATAATTTTCCCACAGCGTTAGCATTCAATTAGCCTATTTGTGTAATTGTCAATGAATGTCTAATATAACACATAGGTGATGTTTTCTATAACTGTATAAATAAAATACTTCATAATATAAATGGATAGAGAATTTCTGCTAGGAATTCTATTCTGATGCAAATTTGAATAGATGAAAGCCATGTTGTTTTTCCCCTTAGAGCTGAAAGACTGTTAATAATCACTCTGAAAGTAACAAGTAAAAATATACTGGAGATGACCTCAGAAATCATATAGTTCTATTTTAATTTACTCACAAAGAAACTAGAATACAAAATATATAAGTGTCTTCCAAGCTTCACAAATACTTTATGGTAGAGCTGAAATTAGGAATATTTGATCCTTTCCATATGCCACTATGTAATTACCAAGAGAAAATGATATTTCTAGATATCAAATTTACCCACATAAATTTATATTATACATGCAAAGAAAAAGGACTAGAGAAAAAAATGAGTCTTTCAATTACCAACAACTGAGGTTCCCGATGTTCATCCACAGCTGGAAGTCCAGTTATTATTTCTAGTAAAACCTATGAAGAGAAAAAACAACAAATCCATTAATATCACACTCCAGGCAAAATATAGAAACTAGAAGGTATATAAGTCTTGATTATGAAATCTGGTTAGTCATTTTCACACACTGCATTATGTCTTTTAGGCATCAAGGCAGAAAAACATGAGCTGTGGTCATTTCTCAACATCCTTTGAAGCTTCACTGACACCATGGATCCCACCCACCCCACAAGCAGTTCTTGCTATTGGCAATTTACTAAACAGTCAGCCCCACTCAACATGTTCTGGACACACCTTTCCCTGTTTTGCAAGGAAGTCTTCATAAAAATAATTTTCTTTGGCTCTTAGGAGAATATTATTTTCTAAATGTTAGGCACATCCCAAACCCCATACCTTAAGTTCACAGTGCTATGATGTTAAATTTCCATATATAAAACACATATGAAAAAATAAGGACCTGGAGGGAATTATGCTAAGTGAAATTAACCACTCAGAGAAAGACAATACCATATGATCTCACTAATATGTGGAATCTAATGGTGAACTACTCAATTTCCCCAACTACCTCCACTCACTCCTCATTCCGTCTTAAGTTATCAGGCATAGATTGGTAGATCAGAGAATACCAAAGTGTATTTCTTTTAAAAAATACTTCATTTTTAAATATGACACTAAATTATATACTGTGTGACATTTATTTTAGGCATTAATTTACGTTTCATACGAATTCATGAGGATAGTGTAGCCAAAAATAATTTCTTGCAGTGATTTCAGAAATCAATATAAAGGCTTTACAAAGTTAGAGAAGTTTTTATAACTTTCTCATGTAACTAAAGGTTAAAGTGAAAGTTTACAGAGAGCTAAGCAAGGCAGGTGTATTCAAAATATTACCAGAATGATTGATTATTGTTACTGATGATAATTAAATTTCATAATCATTACCAGAATGATTGATTATTGTTACTGATGATATATACTAGTAGCTCTGAGCAGGAATCCTCCATAGCTCTGCCTGCTGCCCCACCCTCCTGTAGCTCCCTCTGCCCCCCTCCCCTCCTAGCTTGCTGCTTTGCTCCCTCCTATAGCTCTCTGCCTATGCCCCACCCTCCTGCTGATCCCTGATACTGTGGTTACGTTGGTCTTTACTTCAAGGTGTAACGACCACTTGCATATTACATTTTTATTATATAGGAGGGTATATGAAACTTACCACACCAAAGCTGTAGATGTCAGATTTGGGTGTTATTTCTCCTCGCAAAGCCTCAGGTGCCATATAAGCTGTTGTTCCCACAATTCTGCTAGTCATGATTGTCTGGGAAAACTTCTCAGAAGCCCGTGCAAGCCCAAAGTCAGATATTTTGGCTGTAAAGTCTTCATCTAGTAGGATATTTGCACTGAAAAATATGTTAAATTTGCAGAGAAAAAAATTATTAAAAATTTTTAATGTTGATTATTGTAGACATCCTCCCTTTGCTTACCTCCAGTCAACTCCACATCTATCTCTCTTGGCCTTTACTACACTATTGTCTGTGACCATGGGGTATGCATATATATTTTTTAGCTAATCTATTCACCTTCTTTATTCAGTCACCTCACCCACTTCCTTCCCCTCTGGCACCCGCAAGTCTGTTCTATGTATCCCTATTTCTTGTTTCATTTTGTTCTTCAGTTTACTTTGTCCATTAGATTCCACATGTTTGTGAGATCATACGATATTTGTCTTTCTCTGACTGGTTTATTTCACTTAGCATAAAACTCTCCAGGTCCTTCTCAGGCAAGTCAAATGGTGCCTTAAATAGCTGTATGAATATATATATGTATGTATGTATTTACAGAGTATAACATGTTATATTATACATCATAAAAGCCTGTGTAAATAAATCTAGATTTCAGATTAAAGCTAAAAAAATGACTGTATATTATTCCCTTTTGTTTGAGAAAAATGTTAAGAAAATAAAATTGAAATAATGCTGATCACATTAGTAAGAGATATTTTCATTATTTTACAAATAATCACAGGGTCACTTCCCTTAAGGTCTGCCAAAGCACCATTCTTAACTCCTTTTGTAACATTTCTAAATTCATTTAAAAACAAATTTCTAACTCAAGTATCTCAATTTTTCATTTCTTTTTTATTTTTTGTAGTATCTGAAATCTTTCAAAGAAGAAAGAATAAAGATAAAATGTCTTCATTATATGCATTCACTCATACATTTAATTTCATTCCACAAAACTTACTGAGGACTCCCTGTATATTATAGTATTTAAGCTCAGTGTGGGACATGGAGGAAATCTTCAAATCTTGTCTGTGACAAAGGTATATGCATAAATATTTTTTTAATCCTCACCTGATGATATATTTTTATTGATTTTTAAAGAGAGGGAAGGAAGAAAAACATCAATGTGAGAGAGAAACATTGATTGGTTGCTTCCCTGACATGATCCAACTGGGGATCAAACCCACAACCGAGGTATGTGCTCTGATGGGGAATCAAACCCACATTTTGATGTATGGGAGGACGCTCCAACCAAGTGAGTCACGTGTTGTGGCCATGCATAATTAAAAAAAATCCAATAAGTACACCATAATGGTGGTATTAGATACAAAATGCAGAGAGAACGACTATATGAATAAAAGAACTGGAGAAAATTTGAAGGAAAACTGTGCTTAGTCCTGAATAATTATTAGAAATTGATGGTTAAATGAGAGAAAGATAGGCATTTCAGTCAAATGGAGCACCATAAAATAGTGATAAAAAAACATATGAACAATTTCAATAAACTGGTATTCAGGCTTGATCTTTTGGGTCATAACCTGACAATGCAGTAGTGAATAGGTAAGTACTGGTACAGACAGGTTAAAGGCTGACCAGGAGGGTTTGTAATAAAATCAACAATAGGATCTAAGTAAAGACAGAACCCTGGGGAGAAAAAGGACATCTATAATCTGGGAGTGCTCTAGATTGAGACATGCATGTGTGTAGAAAGAGGGAGGACAAATTATTATTTAAAGATGGTTTTTCCAAAAGTAACATTTACCTTTTAATATCTCTGTGAATCTGATGGTTTTCATGTAAAAAACTGATGCCATTAGCTGCACCCTGAGAAATCCTGCATCTCATGTGCCAAGAAAGTGGTGGAGTACCATCCTTGTGAAGTAAAAAAAGAAACAAACCAATTTAAAAAATAGGAGGATAAAAATGCCAACAGATAACAGAAAATGTTCCTAAGCAACTTTTAAACAGGGGTTAGCATTTCTCATTTCACAATAGAAATATGTAATATTTTACATTTTAGATGATCACGTAATAGAATAGCAACCCCAATTTTTGCATGACAAATGTATAATTTTCATAGAGCAGGAAAAATATTAAAATTGATGCAGTTTAAATGATTCTGTACTAAGATGAATATTAATATCCAACAGAGAAACAGAAAGCCAAAAATCTGATGAACAAATATCTTACCAGGCAAGACAGTCTGTCTAGTAATGAACCGTTAGGCATGTAAACATATACTAAGCAGAGGTCATCTCCATCACTTGAGAAACCAAGTAGTTCTACTAAATTTTCATGTTGGCACCTGTGACAAATAATTTTTCACTCAAAATTATTATGATATACATATATATACAGCTGTATGTTGGAAGTTATTCAGTTTAGAGCTTTAATAGAAAAAAAATCAAGAAAATAATATGTTTAATATCGTAATATGATATATGCTTATATATCTTTCTTATGACTTGATAATCTTCTGCAAACACTTCTCTTTTAGTCAATATTGATCAACTAAAAAGCAAAACATCTTCCTATTTTATAGTAAAAGTTCAATAATTCAGACCACTGGAACTTGTGATAATTTGGTTAAGGAGTAGGCTGATGTATACTTTCATTTAGCACAATTTTCAATTATAGCACAAATAAGATTTTAAGAAATCCATTGAAACCTGTATGAAACCCTGCTCTAACACAGTGGTTGGCAAACTCATTAGTCAACAGAGCCAAATATCAACAGTACAATGATTTAAATTTCTTTTGAGAGCCAAATTTTAAAATTTAAACTTCTTGAGAGAGAGAGAAAACTTAAACTTCTTCTAGCACCACTTCTTCAAAATAGACTTGCCCAGGCCGTGGTATTTTGTGGAAGAGCCACACTCAAGTGGCCAAAGAGCTGCATGTGGCTAGCGAGCCGCAGTTTGCCGACCACAGCTCTAACACATCCAAAGCACTACTGATTTACAGACATCTGATCTTTAATCACATCTAATCTACACTTTTCTGATATTTCATCATATCTGATTATTTGTAACCTAACTTGAGTTTCTTTATATATGTGCCAGTAAAAAAACTAAAGAGAGCTCAAGTGTAACAAAACTGCAGACATATGCGATACAGCAGAAAGAAAAATGGACTCAGTGTTCAGTGCTAAGTTTAAAGTCCAGCTCTGCCACCTCCTGGATATGTGAACTATAGCAAATTAACAACTCACCAAGCCTCAGCAAATTTGCCTGCTGAAAGTGGTTAATAATTACTATGTAACATGGATGCTGTGAGAATTAAATGAGCAAATATATGAAAGCCTTGACAGGTACCTAGAAGGATAAATATTCCATCCTTTGCTTAATCATTTGCTCATTCAAATTGATCTATAATTCTAGCATTTTGTTATTTCAAATCAGAGTTTGATTTTAAATCAGTCTATCCTCAAAAATATTTTATAAAGTGCAAATTAAAATGACAAATTCTCCATGTTCCAGCAAATTAGCACATTTTAGAAATGAGTAGATAACATATGCTGAGTTTATACTGTATATAAGGCACTACAGTAAATAATTTACCTGCTTTGTTTATTTATTCCTTACAATAACATAATGAAGAAAGAACTATTATATTTTACTTTATAGATGAGAAACTAATCGATATAGAGTTAAGAAATGTGGCTAAGGTTATTCTTCTAGTAATGTCCAGAGATTGGTACTTATTAAAAAATAGTAATAATGTTCAATAATGGTGAGGTAGCAGTGAGGTTTGAATTGTAATACATTGCTGATAAGAGAATTATTTATCATAACATATATAAGGCCATTTGGACATATACTTGGAAAGTCTTTAAAAAGTTCATGAATTCTGAACTACAATTCTTCTAGGACTCTATCCTGATGAAATAAGCAGAGTTGCATTTGAAGATTTATGTACAAAGAGATTTAAAGGAGCTTTAATTCGTAATATTGAAAATCAAATAAACCTACTAAGGCAAACTCATTAGTCAACAGAACCAAATATCAATAGTACAACAATTTAAAAAATTTTTGAGAGCCAAATTTTTAAAATTTAAACTACTTCTAACGACACTTCTTCAAAATAGACTCACCCAGGCCGTGGTATTTTGTGGAAAAGCCAAACTCAAGGGGCCAGAGAGCCACATATGGCTTGTGAGCTACAGTTTGCTGACCACGGTAATAGGGTAATGATTAAACAAAACATAATCCTTATATATGACAGAATTTTATACAATAATTTAAAATATTTTAAAATTATTTTTAATGACTTGGGGAAATACTATGCAGATATCATGAAGAAAGTACATAAAATATCAACAGAGGTTATCTCTGATATGATTAGGAGGTGATTTTTATTATTTTAAAAATATTTTCCTGTATTTCCTACATTACCTACTTTGAAAAAGTTTCTTTAGGATTGGCGAGTGGGGGTAGAAATGAGGAGAACAAATTGAAAAAGTGTTTTAATTTTTTTTATCACTATGCATTATTTTTACTGAAAATAAATTAATTCCAGTCTATTATTTCTTTCATGAGGTTAAGCAACTAGAATTAGTGATTTATAGCAATGGGTCTAGTAAAATTCATATCAAAAGCTCAAGCTCTGGAATCAAACAGATCTGTATTTGAAACCCAGCTCTAATATTTACTGGCTATGTGAACTTTCCAAATCTCAGTGGGGAAAAAATGTTGAGAGGGAGGTTATAACAATTATTGTTAGGATTAAATGAGACAACGCACATAAAATATACTGTAGTGTCTTGTACACTATGTAAACTCAAATATCTATTATTGCAAATATTAGAATAAAGTTCCTAATTTGTTTCTGTTACTTTTCCAGATGATGCCCAACAATTTTCAAGCGTACTGGGTCAAGGCCTTCTAAGCACTCTGGTATATAACACTTCCCATACCATAAGTTATGGGTGTTAACTTATATCCAAGAGCCCATCATACTATACTTTTTTTTATGCCTACAATTTATCTCTCATAAATCTTGAGAGTAGAAAACATGATAATGAAAGAAAGTTGAAATTCTATAAAACTTTGCTATGTTTTAAATTAATGACTGCTGTTCAATCTACAGGCATATGGGTATGTTTAGTTATGGAATTGTAGTAAAAAAAATTTAAGTTGCTCTAATCTAAACCCTTTATTTAATTTGTATATATGTAAAAACATCACTACTTCACAGTACCCTTTGGACAAGAAACCAGATCCCTCATTCCTTGCCATGCTCTTTTCCAGAGTATCACACCGCCAAATAAACTTACTTTGCCATTACTTTTATTTCTTGATCAAACTGTTGTTTCAATTCTTCATTACTAATGTCAACCACCTGAAAGAATAATATACAATATAGCACAATACAATAACCCTAAGGTTCCTAATGCCAGAACATGGCTAAAGAGATCAATTGTCTGACACTACTTTCCTTAAAATAGCAAGGCATTATTCTTCCCATTTTATAGGACAACTGAGAACTAGTGACTTGCTCAAGGTCCCATGGCTGGTTAGTGGAAGGAAAAGAATCTTATAAACCAAGTAAACATATAAACCTCACTGAGTTATTATGGGAGTGAAAAAAATAATATGAGACTTTACTGCATAAACATTTTGCAAAAAAAATTCTGTGGAGCAGAAAATATATTAATTTAAAGGCAAAAAGAAAAATAAAACCAGCAAAAGTATTTTTAGTATATATAACAGGGTGACTCTCTTTGTCATATTAATATGTACTATATTGATATTTAAAAAATATAACAACAAAACAATAAATAAAAGATGAATACCCTAACAGTTATAGAAACAAAGGATATAGAAAAGAAAATTTTCATTTTTAATGTGCATTTTATGAACTTTATTTTAAATGGGAAAATACAAGAAATTTATTTCTATAAAATGTTCTTAGCATCTTATAATTTTAATCTTTATTATGCATGAAGCACTATGTAAAACTGGGGTTCTCAACTTTATTTTGTGAATCTCCCATAATTGTATGAATAATGTTATGTATGTGTGCATAACTACATTTTGGGTAGAAAAAGGACCCATAGCATTCAACAGATTTTTAAATCTTAAGAACTACCAGCTTAGAATGATGTTTATTTAAAGAAAATGTGCACTGAAATAACACATTTCCTGAAGATTAATTTAAAACTTATTTAGAGCACAGTAGGAAGTAACTCTTCCTTTAAATCTTTTTATCCCTGGGAACAAAACTTACTGCTGCAAGCCTCTTCACAGCCACAGTTCTGTTGTCCACATAGCCTTTATAAACAACTCCAAATCCGCCCTCACCCATTTTGTTGCCACCAACAGAAATGGGTCTCTCATCAAAGTTATTTGTGACGTCCTTCAATTCGTAAAATGAAAAACTGTGAAAACCTATAATGTCAATAAAGTAAGGGAAAAAGTGCTTCAATAAAAGAGTAGTTTTAGCAATTCCAGTATTTTATCAACTTAAGTATTTTATGTTTAAATATTTATTACTTTGGATTAGGCACAATGAGAGAGAGCAAAACGATTTTTAAATAAAAAATTTTAGTCACTTGTTTTCTTCATAAAATAATCCTTTCAAAATATGTAAATATTTACGTATGGACTCTACTCACTAATAATATGACTTTTACTTAATAACAATAAGTAAAAGATGAATACCCTAACAGAAATGGAAACAAAGGATATAGAAAAGAAATTTTTTATTTTTTAATGTATATTTTATAAACTTTATTTTTAATGAAGATGGTTTCTAATAAGTCAGGAAGGGAAAAAACTACAAAAGAGCTATTGCCAGTGTGCACAAACAAAAGGAGGAATTTGTTTTTAGCAGTAATGGTCTTAATGACAAACCACCAGTACAGCAATTTTCAACCTTGTTCACCTCACAGCACACATAAGGTAATTAGTAAAATTCTTTAAAATACAAAAAGAAAAAAATTTGCCATTCTGATAAAAAAAAATTAGGTACAATTTTTCTTTGTTTTATATTTATTTTATTTTTAAAAATATATTTTATTGATTTTTTACAGAGAGGAAGAGAGAGAGATAGAGAGTTAGAAACATCGATGAGAATCATCAATCAGCTGCCTCTTGCACACCCCCTACTGGGGATGTGCCCACAACCAAGGTATATGCCCTTGACTGGAATAGAACCTGGGACCTTTCAGTTTTGGCATATATATATATATATATATATATATATATATATATATATATATATTAGAGAGAGACAGAGAGGGATAAAGATAGAAACATGGATGAGAGAACATCAATCAATTGCCTCATGCTGGCCCCCTACTGGGGATTGAGCCCTGACCCGGAATAGAACTGGTGACCTTTTGTGTCATGGTTCGACACCCAATCACTGAGCGAGCAACACTGGCCAGGCAAAATAGGTATACTTTTGATTTATTCACACTATACAGCTATTGATGTATTGGCTATTGTCATTTTTTAAAATTTGACAATGTAAGGGAAAAGAGGTCAATGCCTCTGACTAAATAGTCAAGTATTGCATCTTTTAAAAATTATTTCAGCACATTGGTTAAAGATCGTTGCCCTAGTCAGAGGAAAGCACTGCAAATGTTACTTACGTGTATCACTAACTTCTAAACTTTCTGTATTGGAGGAGTCAGGTGGTGTATAATTTTGCTCAGGATTCCGCACAGGTTTCACAAATGACCTGTCTTTATTATATAGAGGCATCTGATTCTGCTCAACTGTTACAGCTTCTTTACAAGGCAGCGTTTTAACAGTTTTGGGAACAGCATCTGCCAAATGAAGTAAGATACAAGTCGTTCCTCCGTAGAAATAGTGAAAAAATTAATCTAGAAACTTGGTTCATTTAAATCATTGCAGTTTCAACCATTAGCCCCATATTCTCACAGCACACACAGAAGCTACCTAGTAAGAATTTTGTTTTGGTAAAGACAGGTAAGGCAGTGTTTTCAAAAAATAGTCTAGGAACCATCTGCATAAGAAGCACTGAAGTACCTGAACCCAAATTCCAGAATTCCAATAATGATGTCTATAACAGAGCCCAGAAAGCTACCCGTTTATAAAAACCCCAGATGGTTCTTGTGTACACTGAGAATCACTGGTGTTAATGACATCAACGGAAAAGGAAAAGTCATGGGGAAAGCAACAAGACACTAATTCACCAGAGTACAGTGTAAGGAACTCATGAACCACAGTGTCCCATTGGGGTGCAAGTGGAGGGTGAAAAAAAATAAGAGCCAAAAAAACCGCCCACCAAAAAAACCCCAAATAATATCTAATTCCCATCCTTCTAAACTTCCTACTGGCACCAAACTACCTTACTTTAATGGTGGGGTAGGACTCAATCACGAAGCTTCCATCTCTTTAACAGCAAGCAAGTCTGCAGAGCCCTATGTCTGGGGTGCTTGTTAAGAGTTGGGGGCAGATGAAAGAATGAAAAGGAGTCTCAAATGTCAGTTTCATCTGCTATGAGAAAAAGTGAGAGTAAGAAGAAATGGTGCTTTTTTTGCCGCCTGTTTTTCACCCTCATTGCTGATGCCCTAGTCACTCAGTTTACCTGGTAGCAAGAGACTCGCAGGGGCAAAAAACTCATTTTGGATCAAAAGATCCACAAGATCACCAACTGTGCAATTTGTGGTGCCCCAGTCAAACAGTAATTCACTGGTGGGACTCTTTCCAGTTTGAAGTAATGCTTCAAATCTCCTTAAAAGCAACAAAGAAAGAAAATTAGTATGTAAATGGAGTTAACATGAAAATAGGAATCAATCCCCCTGTTCCTTTCTCTGACAGCTCCGCCTGTAATGTTAAAGAAAAGTGACGATACAAAAAAACCAGCTAGGCCCTAGCTGGTTTGGCTCAGTGGATGGAGCTTCAGCCAGTGGACTGAAGGGTCCTGGGCTCTGTTCCAGTCAAGGCACATGCCTAGGTTATGGGCTAGATCCCCAGTAAGGGGCGTGCAGGAGGCAGCTGATCGGTGATTCTCTCTCGTTGATGTTTCTATATCTCTCTTCCTCTCCCTTCCTCTCTGAAATCAATAACAATATATTTTTAAAAAAGAAAAGAAAACCAGCAAGAATTACAGAAAATAGGAAAGATAACCAGAAGAAAAAAGATGGTGAAGGTGATGCTAATATGTTAACACATACAGAGCAGTTACTGAGTATTTGCTCAGTGGACTACAGGACATATACATATGAACCATTTTATTCTGAAAGACACTATGAATATCATACTAATTTACTAATGAGAAAGCCAGGCATGGAAAGGTAAAGTAAGCAGCTCACAGCCACACAGCCAATAAGCTGTATCTAAATTAAGATCCAAATTCCGATTTCACTTGATGTAGGAATGTGCTCTCAACCTGCAAAGCTCTATTACTTCTCTAGCAGAGTTAATAATATACACTGAGTGGCCAGATTATTATGATCTCTGAATGTATATCTTATATAATAAAAGGCTAATATGCAAATTGTCCCCCAACCAGGAGTTCAACTAGCAGGCAGGCCGGCCAACCGCCCATGTCCCCTCCCCCTGGCCAGGCTGGCTGGACCTCCACCCATGCACGAATTCATGCATACACACACACACACACACACACACACACACACACACACACCTCACTGGGTGGCCAGATTATTAAGTGTTCAGAAATCATAATAATCTAGCCACTCAGTGTATATATATATATATTATATATTAATTCTGCTAGTCAGATGATTTTTAACAAACCTGTTTAAAGAAACAGAATATACGTAAACTTGGAGAAGTATTCCTTTGATCTTTACTATATTTCAGTTAAATTTTAATAACATCAGTTTTTCATTCCCACTTCTTTAAAAACTAGTTTTGAAAAGTAACATTTAAAAACTTACATTTTCTTCCAAATTTTTTATTTTGAAAAATTCCAAATAAAGTAATATCATGAACAACCATTTATCCTTCATGTATAATAGTTTCACCAGCTGACCAATTGATAACATTTTGCCATGTTGTGCTCTTGCATGCGTTCTTTCCCTGTCTCTCTCCGTAATTTCATATCTCATGCAGCTTTGTTCATTAATAACCTTTCACTTTGTGTTTGTTTGTTTTTTTAGCACTTACTAAGGAGCCTTGTATGAACCAATTACTCATTGGTAGTTGTAAACTGGTAACTTTCTAATTCTATCTTTCTTTCAAAAATTATTTGCTTTTTCTTCCCACCACCACTGTCTCATCTTCCAAAGTTTTTAATAGTAATATAAATAAACTATCTTAAAAAATAGGCTGGCAAGCTCTAAACTGAAGCTTTTTCTAAGTAATTTAAGATGTTCATCCTTCATATGAGGAAACATTTCCTGGAAGGGAGTCATAGTTTTAGGTTAATGCTAAAAATCACAAATATACTTCTTTTCCTCTCATTTTTGTTAATCCTCATCCAAGGATATTTTTCCCATTGATTTTTAGGGAATGTGAAAGGAGAGGAGGTGGGAGGGAGGAAGGGAGGAGAGAGAGAGAGAGAGAGAGAGAGAGAGAGAGAGAGAGAGAGAGAGAGAGAGAGAGAGATATTGAGATTGACTGGTTGTCTCCCATGCACCCCATGTGCCTGAGAGGATCAAACCTGCAAACCAGGACATGCCCTTGTCCGGAAATTGAACCTGTGACCTTTCGGTGCTCAGGTGATGCTCTAACCACTTAGCACACTGGGCAGGGCTACATTTCCAAAGACAGGTTTTGATATAGGTTTGAGCTGAAATAATTGACCACAATAAGATCTGTACTTATATTCCATACTAAATTAAGCTGATGAATAGAGAGGAAGAATAGAAATTATCTGAAGACAGTGTTGAGAAATCCTAGATAAGAAATAAAAATTCTGTTCATAGATGTATACATTTATGAGCAACTGGAAAATGCCCATTTTAATTCCCAAAGTACACTGCTAAAGTGAATTAGAGATTTATACACATAGAAGTTTAGGTTTCAGAATTGTGCTAGCAATTCTTGTGTTTTTAAAAATATATATTTTATTGACATTTTAGAGAGGAAGGGAGAGGGAATATATATAGAGAGAGCTAGAAACATTAATGAGAAAGAAACATCAATCAGCTGCCTCCTGCACATTCCCTATTGGGGATGTGCATGTAACCAAGGTACATGCTCTTAACTTGAATTGAACCCGGGACCTTTCAGTCCACAGGCTGAGGATCTACCACTGAGCCAAACCGGTTTCGGCTGTGCTAGCAATTCTTATAATATTTTTGTTACTTCAAACTGGAAATGACAGTGTAAATCAGACTGAACTGTACTCCTTGGCTTGCTAAACAGAATCAAAATAAAAGTGGGAATCTTAATTCTAATCCAAAAACCTATTTGCAAGATCGCAATATTAGCCTAGCTAAAGAAACAAACATTGCAAAACAAGGGGGAGGTGCTTTTTACCATTATCTCCACTGGGGAGACATTTATTTTCTGAACTGCAATATTAGACAGCATTTATACCTATCAGTCATTCTAGATTGTGATGTAATAATTTTAAAAGGAAAAGAATTTTATACATTACCTTATATGAAACTGATTGTATCTATCATCACCAGATGGTTTTTTAATAGCTACTGCTAACTTCTTCCATCCTTCTTGAGGATCAATAAAATCTGACAGCTTTCTAATTAGTCCAACATTGAGGCAGCGCACATATGTTGATGGTGTTACCGGTTTGTTCATCTTCTATTCCTATAATAGCAAAAATTCTCATTAAAATTTTACAGTAGTTTTAGTGATGATATCTATAAACTTATATATCACTCTGCTATAACATATGAATTGTTAGCAGCTGTACATACTCTATAACAAAGAATAGTCCAAAGTCAATTATAGGTGATGCTTGAACAACAAGGGTTTAAGCTATGCAGGTCCACTTACATGTAGACTAGAGGTCTCAGCCTGGCCTGAAGGGATTGGGCCAAAACCAGAAGTCCAACATTCCCCGAGGGAACATATATGTAGAGCCCATGTGGACACAGACAATAGTGTGGTGAAGGCTTGGAGTGGGAGTGAGGTGGAGGGATTGGGTGGAGGTAGGATGGGTGGTGGTGGTGGAAATCTGTAATAATGTCAACAATACATATAATCTATATATCACACACAAAAATCCATTGCACTCTGAATGAATCTTTTATTCTGAATGTGACTTTGATCTTATGATCCTTCTGAAAGAGCCTGGGACACCGTAACCATACCCTGAGAACTGCCGCTTTAATATTTGTTTCAAGACTTAAAGCTTGGCTGAAGATGCAAAGTGAGTAGTGAATAGAGTATAGGTTAAGAGGTCAGCTTTGAACAGAAAGAAACCTCTTCTGAATCTAGCAAGATATTTGAGTGCAGATATATTTGAAGGGAGAGAAAGAATTCCCACACAATGTTATTTTCTCTGTGAAGTGGGAGGTAAGGTCATCTAGGGTTAAGTAAAAGAATTGCCCAAACACTTTGAGAGCCACCTGGTAATTGTTTACTATCCCTTCAAGTCCAACGCAACCTTTTGATTTTCCCTAATGTCTTTTACTTCAAATTGTCACCTGGTTGTTTTTCTATTAAAACGGTTATCATAAGTTATTGTTTACTAAAGGTGCAGTGCATGAAATTCATGCATGAGGCAGGGGCAGGAGGGGTGTGCCTGAGCCTGGCCTGCACCCTCTCACAATCTGGGACCCCTTGGGGAATGTCTGACTCCCAGTTTAGGCCTGATACCTTTAATCCAGGACTGTTGGCTCCTAACTGCTGGCCTGTCTGCCTGATTGCACCTAACCAATACCTGCCTGCCTGATCACCCCTAACTCCTCTGCCTGCCTGTCTGATTGCCCCTAACCACTCTGCTTGCCTGCCTGATCACCACTAACTGCTCACCTGCCTGCCTGATCACTCCTAACCATCTCTGCCTCAGCTCCACCAATGTGGCTTCATCTGTAAGGACTTCTGGAAGGTCTTTTGGCTATCTGATCTAATTAGCATATTGTTATTATTACAGATGTGTCTACCTTATCTCCTATACAATCTCCTCTCTGGACAGAGATCCAATAAAATTCAACATTAGCAGCTACTCACAATATTTGTGTTAAATGAGAGAAAGACTGTTGTTGTTGTTTTTTACATTGAGAAATTCTAAAAGCCTATAGCTTTTGCAATTGCTCTATGTACATTATTTTTTATTTATTTATTCAGAGTTCTATTGTGTGATTGACAAAGCTCATAAAAGTAGAACTGCTTAGTCATCCTAAAAGCTAGAGCTAAAACATGGGAATTGAGGGTGGGGGGGAAACAGTCTATTTTAAAACCAGCTACCCAATAACTGGGTAGCTCTCCAGCACCCAGATTTCTAGCAAAGGTGATGGCATAGGCATGCCAGAAAAAGGAAGGCTTTCTAACAAGTCCTCCATACACATATGTCTTAAACTTTTAAATCTTAAAATTTAACATTTTTCTTTAAATACACATTCACATATCACCCCTAACACATATTTGGAAGAATATGCACAAAAATGTTAACTGTGGTTATCTCTTGAAAATGAACTTTCTGGTGGTTCTTTCATTTGCTTTATTGCATCACCAATAATGAAAATAAGTGATCTGTGCAAAAAAAAATTTTTTTTTAAGTATCACCTCTTTCAAAGTGTTCAAGATTATTTTACTTTCATGTACTTAAGGTCAATGGAAGTGCAATGGGATATATTGCTTATAAATAATAAATATCTCCATGATTATTTCCTCGTACCATTGATTTTCGTGGTAAAGAAACATCATTCACATTTCCAAACAAGACAACTCAGACAAGAATACAAGGTAAATTGATAATTGAGAAATATACTAAAACCAGTGTTCAGCTTGTGGAACCCAATGCCTTCTCACTCATACGCACCTTCTGAAACAGACAATGGACTGTGCCCAAAATAAGATTAAAAACAATTCTTGTCAAATGAATTAGTTCAGACTGTGCTTCATTAACTTTCTGATCAGTGGCAGAGAGTGGGGGGAAGATAGATTTTGAGGTTGCAGGGACCTGGGTTCCAATATAGCGCTCCCACAAACCAGCTGTGACCAGGGCAATAACTCAATTCACTAGATTCTTCATCTGAAAATCAGAGATGGTAATACCTAAGAGTTGCTATACTTTTTAAAATCAGCAAATGTGAAGGACCTGATCCTGTCAATAACAGGTGATTAAAAAATGCAGTGATAATTATTTCATGGCAGAAGTTATTCTTATATCACATTAAAAAAAAATAAATGTGCAGAGCTGTAGTTAAGCTCAGTTTTCAGCATGGTGGTGAGTGAGGATCTGCCAAGAGAGCAGCAATGAGAGGTCTGAGAATATGGCCAAGCTTTTCAGATTGCTGCCAGCCTCCTTTTATCAAGCAAAGCGGCCTGCCTGTCAGGCACACGTTGCCTGTCTGACATTGCCCTTACCTGATCCTCACACCCCCTCTCGACTTTCTAATTTCCTGGGAGCTTGGAAGCAGGAGAAAGGAGCAAACTGGAATCTCGTGGAGAAGCAATGCTTTCCACGTCCCGAGCATCGCAGCCGGGTGCCGTCCTCACTTCCTGGTTCTCAGGGGAAGAGATTTCCCAGCCGGGTCCTCGGAACCATCCCCGGGAGCGGGGAGCGGGGAGCGAGGTCCCGCTCAGCCCCGCGCAGCGGGGCGAGGAGGCCCGTCAAGCCCGGGCTCCTCCTCGGGGGCGCCTCACTTTCTGATGCCCTGGCCCCCACCCGAGGGTTCACCGCGGAGCCAGCTCCGCCCGCGCAGCCTACTTCCTCTCTAACTTTCCTCACTCGGGAGCTAAGGCGATAAGATAACGGTCCCGCCACCGCCCGTGGGCGGAGGGCCGGCGGCAAAGGGGCGGGAAGGAGGCGCCCACAGTCTGAATCCCTTACCTGAGCGGACCGACCCTGCCCCGCGGAGCAGGCGGAGGAGGAGCCAGAGCCCTTGGAAGGGGCGGGGCGGGGCGGGGCGGGGCGGGGCGGGGCGGGCCCAACCCTTTAGGCTCCGCCTCCGGCTCCGTTTCGCCCCGCCCGCCCCTGCCTGTCGGACCCTCCGGGCGGCTGTACAGCGTGAGAAATTCTAAGTCTCGCGTGAGGCGCTACTTTAAGCGGGCGCCTGCCCCTTTAAATATGCCACTATGGGAGCCTGCCCCTTTAAATACGCCACTGTCGGAGGCTACATAATTCTGCCTTCGGGCATGCGCACCGGGTTGCTCTGGCGGACGCCTTCACCTGTATGGGAGGTAGACGGGGGGATTCCAGCTCCTTGCGCGATCCCGGGCTCGTGTGTGGGGCGATGACGTGATTGGCATTGGGGCCCCTACTCGTGATCCCCAGGAGGAGGCGACTTGGGCCAACATCTCGCCGTGGGGCAGGCGGGGTGGGAGAGGGAGGAGCAAGTGGGGTGCCGGCGGAGTCGGGGTACCTTTGGACGCGCCCGAAGGCCACGGACGTGAGCTCCTCGGCTTGGTGGCCGCGGGAGGAAGTAGGAATGCGCTCAGCCAGGCTTTGGCGTTTAGTGAAGTAAGAGCACGAGCGGGAAGACTCCCCCTTCCTCTGTTTCTGTCATGTTGCCGGGATCTGCCCTCCACCGCAGCTTCCCTGCTGTGTGTGTGTGTGTGTGTGTCGGCCACACTGTCCTCTCCCGCACGCCCATCCGCAGATCTGCAGCCGCCGAGGAACACTGCGCACTGATGCTCAACGCCATGTGGATCCGCTCTCCTACCAGGCTGCTTGGTTGTCATTCCCTCCTCGAAGCGTTCTCCCCAAGATGTTCCAGCTTAGAGGGCCCTCTTCCTTTTCCTGGGGAAAGAGTGTAGTATTCGTCTTTTCAAGGCCAGGCTTACAACTGAGCTCTTGGTTACATTGCGTCCCAGCCCCTCTAACTCTTCATCAGGTGTATCTTGCTCAGTGCCATCAGCCATCTACCTAAAACATCTTTTGGGGGATTGTGTCATTTTCCGACCCAAACATCTCCAGTGACCATCCTTCGACCATTCCATGGATCCTAAGGCCTGGACAGGGCCTCAAGGGTCTTCCGTAGTTTGTCACTAATCCAACTGTCTTTTCCAGAACTGGACTAGAAAACGTTTTCTCCTACGGCTCTGTACTTGGCTGTTCAGTTTCCCCTAACACAGAGCATATTTTGTTTTACGTTGCTTATGATACTACTTACTACCTGGCTTCGTTTCTGTTGCTTGGGCAATTCTGAGGACTTAAATGGCCACTTCTTGCATTATGCATTTACTGATTTATCATAGGCAGACTTGATCTTTCTTCCTCTTCAGTGTTACAGTTCTTATTCTGTACTAGTTTCATTCACTCAACAATCACTATGCTTGCCTACATGCGCTTGACAGTGTTCAAAATATGAGGTAATCAGTGAATAAGGCAGACAAGGTTCTTGCTCTTATGAGTTGTAAGGGATAAAGATAATTAAATCCTGCAAACATTTATTTTGGTTATCTGCAACTTTCTGGTAACTAACTGAAGAAACTTTTCTTTCTTTTGTAGGCATTGTTATTTAAGAATGGAAGAGGATACAGATTTTAGAATAAGGTTCAGTTCTTTATGTTTCATTACTGATCATGTTGGATTCCATGGCACCATAAAAAGCTCACCAAGTGACTTTGTTGTTATTGAGATTGATGAACGGGGACAGTTAGTTAATAAGGCTATTGATGAACCTACTTACAAGATGAGTAAAGTACTGCCTGAGCCAAATAATTTTGCCAAAAAAACAAAATTAGGTTTTCAAAATTTAGTCTTTGAAGAGGAAAGCAGCCAGAAAGTCAATATATTGGTCCAGTGCTCTGATGATGAACAGAATCATCAGTCTGGTCCAGAAAAGGAAGATACTAGTAATGATGGAACTTCCAAAGGTGAAGAAGAAAAAGCTTATGCATTAGGCTCTTTGTTAGATGAAAAAAATAATGAACGATTGAATCAGTTTGCCTGTGATATAAAAGAGAAATGGAATTCTAAAAGTGAGCTAACTGGACCATCTCCTGAATTCTCACTGGGCAGAATCCTTGACAAAAACCAGAGGGCTATTTTGCATAGTGCTATTCGGCAAAAGTTTCCTTTTTTAATAACTGTAGGAAAAAACAGTGAAATTGTTGTAAAGCCAAATCTTGAGTATAAAGAACTCTGTCACTTGGTATCTGAAGAAGAAGCATCTGACTTTTTTAAATACTTGGATGCAAAAAAAGAAAATTCCAAATTTACCTTTAAACCTGATACAAACAAAGACCACAGAAAAGCTGTTCACCATTTTGTCAACAAAAAGTTTGGAAATCTTGTGGAAACCAAATCTTTTCCTGAAGCTAATTACAATGCTGGTAATCCAAATACAGTGATAACGGTAAGATTTCGTGAAAAAGCACACAAGCACAGGAAAAGGTCTGTTGAATGCCAGGAAAGAAAAGTTATATACACAGGTAATTTAATAAATTATTACCATTTTATTTGATAAGTTTAATTAAAATTATGACTGTAAAAAAAACCACCAAACAGTGAAAACTGAGTAATTCACATGAATTGAATGGACTTGTCCAGAGAGATATTGAAAAAAATATATGGCCTGTTTTTAATGGGCAATAAAGACTTTCAAATTACACTAATTGTAGAAATTAACCTATTGGTGATAGTGTGGTTAACACAGACATTTATAGTTAACAGTCCCAAATATATAAGGTTGAAGCAGTTATTTTGTATTTAGTTAGTTTTATTGGAGTAAATTCTTTTTAAAATATATTTTTATTGATTTCAGAGAGGAAGGGGGAGAGAGAGAGAGAGAGAGAGAGAAGAAACATCAATGATGAGAATCATTGACTGGCTGCTTCTTGTATGCCCCCTACTGGGAATTGAGCCCACAACCTGGGTGTGTGCACCTGACAGGAACTGAACCTGGGGCCTCTCAGTCTGAAGCCCCTCCATTAACCCTTTGGTTCTATTTTATTCTTTGGTTTATTTTGTCCATTAGATTCATTGTTTATTTTTATTTTTAGATTGTTGATATCTATTTATTGCCATTATATTGTTCCTATTTTTAATCTTTTTCTCCTCCACTTAATGAAAAATGATATTTTTCTACTAAAAATCAGTAAGAATTGTATTATGGGTTTTTTGTTGTTGTTGTTTTTGTTTTTTGAAATATATTTTATTGATTTTTTTTTTACAGAGAGGAAGGGAGAAGAATAGAGAGTTAGAAACATCCATGAGAGAGACATCAACCAGCTGCTTCCTGCACACCCCCCTTGGGGGATGTGCCTGCAACCAAAGTACATGCCCTTGACCAGAATCAAACCTGGGACCCTTCCGCCCGAAGGCTGACGCTGTATCCACTGAGCCAAACCCGTTAGGGCAGATTGTATTGTTTTATAGTTCTACAAATCTTTCTAATATCTGACTTAAAAAATGTCAGCTGTATTCTCATTTCTTTTCCTGCAATCTGGTATAATTTTTTGTTTTGATTGAAGCAAATGAACAAAATTCAATTCATACAGGCATGTAGTTGAAAAAGGGAGAACATTGCGTACAGATCTGAAAATATTTGATATTTTGATCTTCCTATTGCTGTGACTAATTGCCATATTTTTATTTCTTCTTCAGGCTCCATCACAGCAGCACTTCTTTCTCAAATTCTTTTCCAAGACTCAATGCTCCCTAAGCAGGGATCATTTTTGTCATATTGGCCTTTCTTCCCAGATTATTTTATTTAAATTCTATAATTAATCATATCATGACAACAGCTGAACTATTTTGAGGTTATAATCTCTACATTTTAAATGTGGGGTTTTAATTTTATTTTATTTGAGACAAGAGATAAATACAGCTAACTTAAAATAAGAGGTTTATATTCAAATCCATTGGTCAAGATATCCTGAAAGTGTAAAAGCAAATTGTGACTTAGCACACAGAATTAACTTGTATGAGTCTCTCCTTTCCTCTACTTCTTTTATCAGTTCTTTAAGAATAACAGAAGTCATAGTACATTTAATTTATCACTGCTGTAATAGAAAATTTGGAGAATCCAGGAAGCTGTTATGGTAGTACAAAAATTAATGACCCTGGTGATAAAAAAAAAAAGTGAAAATAGTGGACAGTGTTTGAATACTTTTATATATAAGTATTTAGGTAAAAATATATATAGAATTTTATTGTAAAAATTTAAACTGAAAATATACTACATTGCATTGCAGATTTTTAAAACTTTCACATAAGTGATATAAACTATGGGTATTTTTGTTTTTAGAGATTATTTACATAGACATATAAAGAACATGTAGCTTTTCCCCATTCTTTTAAATACTACATGATATTCCAAAGTATGATATTACAAGCTTTGTTTAGCTATTTCATATACAGGGTGGGCAAAAGTAGGTTTGCAGTTCTGAGTACATAAAGCATGGAGTTTATTATTGCGCTAGGGTCCCAGTGCACGAATTCGTGCACCTTGAAAGGAACTGTGGGCCGCGAGGCTGCGGTGGGCACAGGGGTTGGTCTCGGCCCATCCTCTGCATCCCTGCCCAGCCCCTCTTGATGTGGCCCCCAATCCCCTGTGCCAGCAGCCCTGTTCCCGCCACAGCTGCTACTCCCACACGCTGATGGTGCTGGCCCTGCTCGGATTCCCTGACTGTGCAGAGCAATTGGGGCTGGTTGCCAGCAGCAGGTGCAAATGGCAGCTGCTGCCCTGATTGCCCCTTAGGAGCAGGGGGAGGTGGAGAAGCCCTCAGGGGTGATTGGGACCAGCAGCCACCACTTGTACCTGCTGACAGAGCTGGGCGATTGGGACCGGCGCTGGTCGCTGGTAGCGGGTGTGAGTGGCCACTCTGGCACCGGCAGTGGGTGCAAGGGGGCTGTAGCCGACAGCAGGTGTGAGCTCTGGGCAGGACCACGTTGCATGGGAGCAAAGAATATTTAGTAACTATTAGAGGCTTGCTCCGATGACAGCCTTGGTCTGGTGCCCCCATCACCTGCTCCACCATCCTGCTGCTGCTGATGCCTGCTGTGTTTTGCGCGTGCCCCCTGGTGATCAGTGCATATCACAGTGACTGATAGGTTGTTCTAACATCTGGTCTAGTTGCATATTAGGATTTTATATATATAGATTATTACTTATTAATCATTATATTATTTCCCATACAATACTGTAAACCCACTTTGCCCCCAAAGTGGGCAACTGTAATTTCAAATCAGCAGCTATGGGCCTCTCTGAAGAGTATTCTAAGAAAAATGGACATTAAACATAAACATGACCCAGCAAGTAGAAAGAGGTAAAATGTAGGTATGTATCTATCTACCTGTGAACATAGATTGGTTGCGTCCCACATGTGCCCCAACCAGGAAAAGGAACCGCTCTTGACAGGGAATCAAACCCATGACCCTTTGGACTGTGGGCCAGTGCTATAACCCCTGAGAAATACTGCACTGTGCTGAAATATCTTATAGGTATATATGGTGAGCTGAGGATTGCTGTATTTTGTCACTGTCAATGTTGACAAGGTAGATAGGTCAATGTATTGGGGGCCTTTTTTTGTGGGCTTGGACCTCCTTCTCATCTCCACAATCTCAACTCCCATTTACTATTTGCTATAAGCATTGTTTTATTTACTGGTTTGCTGGACTGGAACTCCCAAGTCTATGGGGTGGATAAACCATAAAGAGATACATTTTTATACATGGTATTAAGTGTCATGATACAGATAATGACAGTTTGTGGAGACATGCAAGATTAAGCAATCATCTCCTTATAGAGTTTATTTATTTATTGACTCAACAAGTATTTGAATACTTACTATGTGTTAAGCTGAGGATATAATCCTATATAATAAAAGGCTAATATGCAAATCAACTGAACGGTGGAATGACTGGTCACTATGACACACACTGACCACCCGGGGTCAGATGCTCAATGCAGGGGCTGCCCCCTGGTGGTCAGTGTGATCCCACAGGGGAGTGCTGCTCAGCCAGAAGCTGGGCCACAACTGGCATGGAGGGGGCCTAAGCTGGCAATCGGACATCCCCTGAGGGCTCCCAGACTGCAAGAGGGGACAGGCCAGGCTGGGGAACCACCCTGAGTCATGAATTTCATGCACCAGGCCTCTAGTAGTTTATAAAACACACATGATCCCTGCTTTGGGAGCATTCAGAGTTGGTAACCTGGAAAAAATATGAGGGAGGACTGCTGCTGCTGTTGGATTATGAAGAATGAATAGAATTATGGCCAACAAAGTGGAAGGAACATATATTTTAGAGAGACTCAAATGTGCAGAAGTACAAAGCTGTGGAAGGCTCTAGTCCACCCAAGGATTATGAGAAATTCTCTCAATATTATAAGATATATGAATGGAAGTAGAACATGTGGGGACTGAAAAGGGAGAATGGGTTTAATATGAATTCCAAACTAAGGAATTGGAATTTTTTTTTTCTGTAAACCTTTAATGAGCCAATTGGCATTTTAAAAATGACCACTGAAATCGATGACACTGATTCTGTATTTTTATTAAAAAATACTCCTTATTTAAATTAATGATTTGATTCATTATATTAATCTGTTAGTCTGCTAAGAATGTACTTGATGTATGGTAGCTGCCTTTTTTGTAATCTCGGATTTTTTTTTTTTCCAGCCTTTACCCTACAAAAAGAAAATATAGAAACGTTTGAAGCAATTGGTTTTTTAGCTGTCATACTTGGTGTGATTCCTTCAGATTTTAGTTATGCAGGCCTTAAAGACAAGAAAGCCATCACCTATCAAGCAATGGTTGTTAGAAAAGTGACTCCAGAGAGGTAATAAGACATTACTTGATAAGAGATAACTTTTTTCTTATTGCATCAAATAAGAAAATATAGGATTAAACTCTGAATAATGCTAGGAGCATATTAATATCATTAATGTTAATTTATTGAGTATAGGCTTACTATCAACACATTCCACATTGATAATATAATTATTTTCTATATAATTTTCTAATAAATTTGCACTGTAAATATAGGTAATTTTACCATAGAAACTTTGAGAAGTGGCTGATTTTATTTTATTTTTTATTAAATTATTACCTGTGTACATATTTTAACATTGCCCCCCCCCTCCCATACTTACCCTCCTTCCCCAGAGTTTTGTGTCCATTGGTTGTACTTATATGCATGTATACAAGTTCTTCGGTTGATCTCTTATCTCCTGATTTTAAATGATCAAATTATTTCTAAACTTTCTGTTCTATATTTAAATATGCATTTATATTCAGGATAATGTCTTACAAATCTTTTTTCCCCCAATTGCTATAATACTTTTATACTTTTATTGTTGTGCTTTCTTATATTTAAAATAAATCTAAATAGAAAGTAAAGCATTTAAATTTAGCCTCCCTTGAGCTCAGTTGATTATTAAAAGTATTTTTGGCAATTGTCATGTTCATTGTATATTTAGAAAATAGAAAAAATGCTATATAAAAAAGAAATTAAAAGTCCCTGATAATTCCATTACTCAGAAATAACCACCATAATATTTTTATCTGTTTCCTTCCATGCATTTTTCAGAGACTATCCTACATACACACATTGTACAAAGACTTTTTATATATGTGATATTCATAGTGTATTTGCGATTTATATTTTACTTATAAAATTAAGATTCTTTTAAGAAAATTTATGTCATGAAATATTTCAAAATTATTTCCAGTATTTAGGCTAATGTATTTAACTTTCCTCTAATTATGGATATAGAAATTTGTTTCAATATTTCACTGTAAATAATACTGTGATTAATATTATTGTACTTAAATCTGTGCCATGTAGCTACTTTTCAAAAAGTTGATCATTGGGCCAAAATTGAACCTAATTTGAGGTAAAATTGATGTATTAATCCTTAGTCATTAGATGTTTTATGTATGCACTATTTGCAGGTAAATGCTTCTAACCTCTAATATGAGGGACCAAAAAAAGTAGTATATAATTTTTTTTTTATGATCAAAAGTGCAGTATAAGTCCTTCTCCCTTACTTATACTGCACTTTTGATCATAAAAACAAAATTATATACTACTCTTTTTGGTCCCTCATGTTAGAGGTTAGAAGCATTTACCTGCAAATGGGGAAAAATAGAAAGTTTGAGTTCAGAGCATAATTTTGAGGGAATCCTCTGGTGCTAGTAGTTTTCTTAGTAATGTTGGGGAAGAGAGACTGAGGAAAGGAACAAAATTTAAAGATAGGATAGGAAGAACAAAAGAACAGTTAAGAAATTATATCACTTGAACTAAAAAGTCAAAAAGTCTACATAGATTGAGTTGATATCATTAGGAATATATGTCACAGTTTTTAAAATAACTGATTAACATAATCCTATAATAATGGGGTTTTAGTACACATTTGTTGAATTAACATTAACTTTGGAAGATGGAAAAATTTTCGTTTTAGTGTTGTGATATAAGTGGTTACCTGGCAATTATCATTTAAAACTTATAATATTTTTTAAATGTAAGATTTAATTGAGTCTATATGATTTATCATTTATAGGTTGAAAAATATTGAAAAAGAAATTAAAAAGAAAAGAATGAATGTGTTTAATATTCGGTCTGTAGATGATTCCCTTAGACTTGGTCAGCTCAAAGGAAATCACTTTGATATTGTCATCAGAAATTTAAAAAATCAAATAAATGATTCTGCAAACCTGAGAGAGAGAATTTTGGAGGCAATAGAAAATGTTAAGGTAAGAAAACTCTATTTTAAGAGTACTATAGGAAAATTTTGACAGTCCCTCTATTTACATTGAAGTAAGAAGATAAACTTTTTTCTTTTTTACCTTTTCTTTTTATTTACATGTATAGTTTTTTTTTTATTGATGAGAGAGAGAGAGAGATTTATTGTTCCACTTACTTATGTATACATTGATTGCTTCTTGTATAATATGTGCCCTGACCAGATAGCGAATGCACAACCTTTGCATATTGCGACGATGCACTAACCAACTGAGCTACCTGGGCAGGGCCTGTATAATTATTTTTTAAAATAATATTTAGGGCTATTTGGCTTATTTTAAAATTTTCTTCTTAGTACGTTTTTGTATTAAACAACAACAACTTTAATATAATTAAAAAAAAATAAAATGTGTAAAGTTTCCCAGAGATGGGGGAAAAATTAAAGCTATCTGTATAAGAAGAATGTTTTTCAGCATCTGCTATATAGGATAATATTTTAGGGAAAGGGATTAATATTTTTGGAAACTTTGTTTAGTAATTCTTTTCAGAAATCTTCGGTGATTTGGAAAATAATCTTTTGGAATTATACATTTTTTTTCAATCTAATTTTGAATTTTGTTAAAATGTACCATATACCAATGACAATATATACATTATATTATGTCTTACAGTAAAAAATTACTTAACATATATTTTAAATGACATTTGCCAGGCATTTAAATATATGTATACAACCATAGCCTTCAATCAGATTATCTGTACTATGGGTCAGCAAATTTTTTTTTTATAAAGATCCAGTAATACATATTTTTTTACTTTGTAGTCATATGGTCTCTGTTGCAACTATTTTCTTGCTGTTGTGTGGAAGCAGCCATAGACAATACATAAATGATTGAACATAGCCATGTTCCAATAAAACTGTATTTACAAAAATAGATGTTGGGACTGATTTTACTTGTTGGTAGTCAGTGGTTTGCCAAGTCCTGATCTAGAACTGTAATTCTCAACCTGCAGTGCTTAAAAAATTCTCAGCAGTAAATCTCCACCCCCTAAACCAATTAAATAAGATCATTTGGGGATGTAGTTTAGGCATTAGTATTTTAAAAAATAACTTCCTAAATGATTCTACTCTGTAGCTAATATTGAGAAAAACTGATTTAAGTTTTTGGCCATGAAGAACTTTTTGTATAATTTTTTGCCTCCCCCCTCCCGCCCAGGAAAATAAACAAAAAGTGGTTTTTAATAAATATTATGCCTTATAGTCAGGAAAATATCCTCCAATTAAAGATTTTAAATCCAGCACATTCACCTCTGTATAGGAGTTCTCTTAATTTATATTCTATGTGCAGTTTTGTTACTGGAGGAGCCACCTGAGTCTGAGGAGGCTCTCTCCTCAGCTCTTCTCTCTCTCTCTTTCTCTCTCTTTCTCTCTCTCTAACTCCTTTCTTCAGACAAGTGACAGAAAGCAGTATTGAACAAACCAAGTGAATTTATTAAGGAAACAAAGCAATTGAATTTATAAAGCATAAAGCACAAATGGGCAACTCAGCAAGTCTGAGTTTATACAGGGTGTTCCCCCCAAAATGTGTACATACTTTAACAGATGATAGCTCTAGCTCCTATTACATTTTGAAAATCAAAAGTATTTTAATAAATACGATATATATATCATGTATGTATTTTTGAGGTACATCCTGTAGTTTTCCCCTTACAGGTTTCAAGGTTTCCCTGCCAGATATTTGGGCAATTAGTCTAGATTTCAAGGTCCCTCTTTGCATTGTTGTGGCTTTTCCCAGAATGTATGAGAACATCTGGCGATTTTATCTTGGCAAGTCCCAAGACAGCTTACTTCTTTGTTCAGTGGGTGAGATAAACCCCTTCCCCCCCTTTCCCCTCCTCTAGTCCTTAGCAGCTATCTATTCTGCCAAACTGTTTTTTTCCTTTTTTTTTTTTTTTTCTGGAAATACCTAACATTCTTTTTTTAAATTTATTTATTTATTTACCAAAATATATTTTTCAGATATATATTTGGTCTTCATCCACAGTTTCTGGCTCACAGCTTCCCAAACCCTTGGAATTTCCTAAGTGTTGAGAGTGATAGAGTTGTCTTTTGTTGGTTAATGAGGTGACTTTTGTAAAGATCCTAAGGATGGGGGCTGGCTTCATATGGAGCCAACTTTGTGATTACAGGGTTGTAACTTTTATTGATTGATTGATTGATTGATTGATTGATTTTTACAGAGAGGAAGGGAAAGGGATAGTTAGAAACATTGATGAGAGAAAAACATTGATGAGAGAAAAACATCAATCAGCTGCCTCCTGTACATCCCCTACTGGGGATGTGCCTGCAACCAAGATACATGCCCTTGACCGGAATCGAACCTGGGACCCTTCAATCTGCAGGCAAATGCTCTATCCACTGAGCCAAACCAGTCAGAGCAGGGTTGTAACTTTTAGTACCAACCCCTGAATTGGGAGGGGGTAAGGCTGACAGTGGAATCAATTGTCAGCAGCCAATGATTTAATTAATCATTCCTCCATAAAAACTCAAAAGAACCTAAAAGAAGCATTCATTCAGAGAGCTTCTGGGTTGGTGAGCTATAGTTGAATGTGCAGGGAGACTGGTCCACCTGGAGAGGGCACAGAAATTCTGCATCGCTTCCATCTGGCTGTTCCTGGGTCACATAATCCTGCGTTTATAATAAATTGGTGATCTGATCATTAACATTCTTCTCTGAGTCTGCAGGCCTCTCTAGAAAGTTAGTGGAACTGAGGTAGGGGTCTTGGGAACTTCTAATTTAAAACAAGCAGGTCAAAAGTACAGGGAACAACTTGAACTATCGGCTGGTGTCTGAAGTCCAAGGAGTATTTGTTATAACCTTCGGTTCACAGCAGGTCATCAGAAACACATGTGCAGCCTGGTTTGTAACTGACCTGGCTTCTGAAGGTGGTGGGGGTGAGGCAATCTTGTACCACTGACCACTTAACCTGTAGCATCTGATGCTGTCTCTGAGTAGATAGTGTCAGAATTGAGTGAATGGTGGGGCACCCAACTGTCAGAGAATTGCTTGTTGGTGTGGGAACTCCCTCTCCACATTGAAATTGGATGCTCAGAACCCCAAAAGAGGGGGCCTGAACTCTGCTAGCATTTATGGCCTGTCTCATTTGGTACTTATGGATATATAACTGCTCATTATAAAAATTCCCATTTGGAATAATCCTAGCATTAGCCAACTTTCCTTTAGTTCTCATAATAAGGGAAGGGAATTGAGAAGCCCTGAAAATAAGAAGTCTTTGAAGTTTTATTTTAGAAGGTCATGTCTCTGATTGCAATAAACCTTGTTATTTCCAACCCTAAGTAACTAGAAGAGGTAGTTAAAGTTCTTCTGGCTATTCTATGACATTATCTTATGTTGTTTTTTGTTTTTTGTTTTTCAAATTTGAAATAGTTAAAATGTTAACTATGAGATTAAATACAGGGAGTACTTATTTTTATCTGCAATTGATTTTCATGAATAGCATGAGGTAAGGATGCCTTTTGTACCATGCCAATAACAAATTGTCTTAGTGTCTTAATTGAACAGTCCTGGAGTTGGTGCTCAATAATAATTGTTGAATGAATAAACATGTACTTCTTTCATAAAGTGAATGTGGAAGACTCTTTCAAGAAACCATCTGGCCTGGTGTTTTTTTATTATTTTTTTATTTTATTGAGTTTTTACAGAGAGGAAGAGAGAGGGATAGAGAGTTAGAAACATCGATGAGAGAAAATCATCGATCAGCTGCCTCTGGCACAACCCCTACTGGGGATGTGCCCGTAACCAAGGTACATGCCCTTGACTGGAATCGAACACGAGACCTTTCAGTCCTCAGGCTGACACTCTATCCACTGAGCCAAACCGGTTTTGGCCTGGTGTTTTCTTTGTGAGAATACAGGCAGTCTTCGGGTTACATTGGATTCAGTACATCATTTCTTGGTTACGTCACCATCTCTCATTTATTTATTAAAAAAAAAAAAAAAAGTTCCGTCATTTGTACATATGTGCTTTATGTGTTTTATTATTTATTTACCACAAGTAAAGGTCAGGAATTGTTATCTTTTATTTATTTATTTATTTATTTATTTATGTATTTATTTATACTGTTTCACTTCATTACTGCTGTGTTTGTGCTCCATGTAAGTGACATACGTGTTTATATAGGTGGGTTCTGACTTATGGTGAAAAATCGCATTATGTCACTCCATAGGAACAGATCTCCGATGTAACCTGAGGACCTACTGAATATTTAATCACTGACCAATACCTTTAAATGGTTGCAGGAATAAATTATAATTTTCTATTCTTGGTGAAGTGACACCATGTCATTGTCTTGGCTCAGGCTGTCAGAAACTGAGATGACTGAAAGGTGAACTGGGTTTGAAAATAAATCTGTTTCTTATTCCAAACATGTCCAGACAGCAGAGTCTCAAATTCAGACAGAGCTCAGGGCAAAGATCAGATATAATGCTAGGTAACTAATTCATCCCAGTTTTCCCAGAACTTGCCCCATTTTAACACCAAAAGTCCCACATCCCAGGAAACTCCTCAATAATGTTAATGAAAAGCCAACATTTTAAAAGCTTTTTTACTCAGTTTATTTTCTAACTTTTAATCTTTTATTCTTCTCCTTTTTATTCTTTAACTGTATAGCATTTCTCAGACCATTTGGTCCCCATTTGTATATTGCTGATTATAGGATTCTTTATTAAAATAAATATGAAGAAATAGATTTGATTACATATTCCGATGCAATAATTGTATTTATTTGTCTTAGTTCATTTCTATAACAAAGAACCCTGAACTGGGTGATTTTTAAACAACAGAACATTATTTCTCATAGTTCTGGAGGCTGGGAGCATGAAGTTACAGTGCCAATATGGTTTTCTCATTGTATTCTCATAACGCAGAAGGAAGAATGAGCTAGCTTTCTGACCTTTCCTTATAATGGCACTAATCCTGTTCATGAGGGCTCTATCTTCATCATCTAATTATCTACCCAAGCCCCACCTCCACAAACCAACACATTGGGGGGTAGGATTTCAACATATGACTTTGGGGCAGGGGTCACAAGCATGCAGTCCCTTCGAACCCTACCAATATACATTTAATCAATTTATTTCTTTCTATTCATAGCATAAAGGGTTTGTGAATTATTATGGACCACAGAGATTTGGGATGGGAAGGAAAGTTCACACAGATCAAATTGGATTGGCTTTGCTGAAGAGTGAAATGGTATGTATTCTTAAAAATATGATCTTTTCTCTTTTCACAGTTGTACTTACTCATAAACCGGCTTCTTGCTTTCTTAACCCAGCATATATACATATGATATATATATCATATTCTATATCACTGAATATATGTTGAGCAGCTACTTTATTCTTGGCATCATACTATAAGAAAGCCAACTATATGCCATGTGCGATATTTTTTGAGACTTAACAAAGAATTGACCAACACTCACCAAATTCTGAGAACTGAATAAGAGATTTAGAGTAAAGTAATACCCTATAATTTGAGAAATCTGGTATCAGATTATATAAAAGATAGAAATTCACCCAAAGCTAGAGACTAAAAAGGGAACAACAGATTTGAAAAATCACCTGGTTAATTTCAAATGAAGCTATAAATGAATGTCACATATAAGAGGCAACATTTGCCCAATTATTAAAATTATATATACATTTAAAAGTGTATATTTTGTATATAATTATATATTATACACATACACATAGTTTTGCACTGAATGAAGTGCATATAATATGAAAAACCTATAAGTCTATAAAAATTATATATTTGCACAAATGCAAGATTATTCATGTGATGGTGCCATACTCATTTGTGTTATAGTATGTTCTCTTGAGTGGAAGAGAAAAGAATAGTAACAGCACTGTGAGTAGCATTGCGCATGTGAATATTGTCTTGTATGTGGAAATATGGTTGACAGTTAATGATGCAGACCACATCTGCAAATTTGTAGTCAGTATTGCTACTCAAAGACACATACTTAGAAATAAATCACAGTTCTAGAGAGAGTGATAAAATATAGGAATGTGTAGATGTGTCTTTTTTAAATAACATTTTCATCTATTTAGGTTATAAAAGAAAATATTAAAGTTGGCAATTTCAAAAAAGAATTGGGCAATTATTTTAAGACCAATGAATTCTGAGACTTGAGAACATGAATGCAATTAGTGGCTTGCCATTCCCTTATGCTTATATTCTTTCCTATTTTTGTTGTGTATGTTGGTCAAATTTGAGTTTTGTGTCATTACTTCACACTGGTGTTCATGTAATAAAAGCAACTTTATTACATGACAGAAGAACTGTGGGAGATATGGAAAAGCACTTTTTCTGATTCATAATATTTTAAACCTGTATATAAGCTTGCTTTGTACAGAAGTTTATTTCTAAATGTAACATTATTTTTGTTGCTCTTAATCCTCACCCACGGATATTTTTTCCATTGATTTTTTTTTTTAGAGAGAGTGGAAGGTAGGAGGGAAGAGGGAAAGAGAGAGACTGATAAAGAGAGAAATATCAGTGTGACAAGAGACACATTGATTGGTTGCCTCCCACAAGCCTCAACTGGGGCCAGGGATTAAGCCTGCAACCGAGGTAGAAGCTTTTGAACAGAATCGAACCTCAGACACTTAGGTCTAAGGGCCATGTTTTAACCACTGAGGAGCAAAACCAGCTAGGACAACATTGATTATTTAATTTTGGGAAGTTTAAAGATAAAATTGTAGCATCAAATATCAAGTAGGCATTTGTTAAATATCTATTCTTTGAACAGGCATGTTTTTCTTAAAGTAAGTAATTTGTCATTTTTATGTAACATGTGTTTGCTTGCTTGATTTTTAAAGGTGAAGTCTGTAAAATTATTTCTTACACCAGAAGATTTGGATGATCCTGTAAATAGAGCAAAGAAATATTTTCTTCAAACCGGTATTAAAAAGTTTCTTTACCCCATACATAGCCATGCAGATACATTATATAAATGCTATATCAGCAGAAGAGCATTCATTGCTACATAAATGTGATAAGAAATAGATTGTAATATATTGTATATATTGACAATTTTTATTACATGCCCTAGGTACTTCAATTTTGATCTGATCTTAAGGCCCTTTTGTCTGTTCTAAATCTTGCTTGCAGGGAGATCAGAGGGGAGAGATGGTATATTAGTTTTTCTTGACCTAAATTCTCTGAGGAGATAGGAGTTCCCAATTCCAAACTGGTACTGATGGAAGTATATAATTCACTACAACTAGAGGAGATGGAAAAATAAACTAAATAAAAGAACATTTGTTATATCTGATGCTTTGTGCACTGGTTCAGGTCTAGTTGCCATTCAGCCCTGACTGCAGATTTTGAAAACTCTAGCTCAATATGATGATATATATGCAGAATGCTTAATAGGAAACACTAAAGAAAACTAGTTATGAGTGAGTCAATTTGCATGAGTGTAACTCTCACCTTTAGTACTTCCCAACTGTATATGGGCTTGTGCAATGATTTAGCCTCATTGTTTTTTTCACCTGAAATTGAAACTAATAATGGTACTTAAAAGGCTATTATGAGATTTAAATGAAATAACAGAGGTAATGCTCTTAAAATAGTGCCTAGCACATACTAAATACTGAACAAATCTTACTTGTATTTTAGTAATAATAACAGTGACCATACCATTTTAGATTCATTCAAATATGTGATCTACATATGTGTGCATACTAAATTTCACTAACATTGAAATAAATGATACTAGTTTTTAAAAATCTACTTTATTTTTAAGTATATACATATTATAAAAATATGTAATTATTCATAGGAGAGAAATATTTTTATGTCACAGCACAATCTATAAATAATACGGGCATTTCAAATTGTTATGAGTAATCTAAGTGATACTAAAAATAATTCAAAGTGAGTTATTTGTTTCTATTGTAGAGTCCCAAGAAGATAATTTCCTAATGGCAATTTCAATGATATTTAAACTTTAATGTTCATTAGAAACCTGATACAGTTATTAAAATTCTGACTCCAAGGCCCTGCTGGAATCAGCATCTTTACAGTAGAGTCCCTAATTTTAAAACACATCCCATCAGCAAGACCTAATATTATGCTTGAGTAATCCAGACATCACTCTTTCTTATTCAAAAAAATTTCTGTAAATGTCCATGATAGCTCTTTTTAAAATCCTAGGCTCAGAGGTTTATTTAATGCTCTTTTATGAAGTTCTCTTAATAACTGTAAATTAGTTTATTTTCATTCTGAAGTAGGAATTACTACTGTGCTTTTTGTTATTTTTTAATATGTTTTTGTTGATTTTTAGAGAGAGAAAATGAGAGGGATAGATAGAAGCAACAATGAGAGAAAAAAATCTTCCATGGCTCCCTCCTGCATGCCTCCTATTAGGATCAAGCCCACACCTGGGCATGTGCTGGGAATCCAACCTGTGTCCTCTTGGTTCATGGGTTGACACTCAACCACTGAGCTAAACTGGCTGGGCTGGTTTTGTTGTTGTTGTTGTTGTTGTTGTTGTTTGTTTGTTTGTTTTTAAAGCAGGGAAAGTAAATGGCTCATATGATTAATGATCTTTATTTTTTAAAAACACAGTTTTTCAAGTGTAGTTAGTCTTATAGTTGGTGCTGAACATCTTCATATTCAAGTATAAAAGACAGCAGCAATTCTCTGACTCTCATTTAGAGAGCATAATAAAGGTCTTCGTAATTGGCTTTAAATAAAAGTGATTGACTAACTGATTTTCTTTTTATTGCAGAGGATGCTAAAGGCACACTTTCATTGATGCCAGAATTCAAAGTTCGAGAGAGAGCACTGTTGGAGTCACTGCATCGCTTTGGCATGACCGAGGAGGGTTGTATCCAGGCCTGGTTCTCCTTTCCTCATTCTATGCGCATTTTCTACATTCATGCATATAGCAGCAAAATTTGGAACGAGGCTGTATCTTACAGACTTGCAACCTATGGATCAAGAGTGGTGGAGGGTGATTTGGTCTGTTTGGATGAAGATGGTGATGATGAGCAATTCCCCAATAATAAAGTAAGTGTCATTTCATCAGAATTTCCCAAGAATAGTTACCTTAGCAGGAACACTAATTTTCTGAAGCCCTTATTTTAGAAACAATTTAAACTTAAATATGGATTTTATTTCTTTTTAACTTATATTTGCCCATCTCCTCTTCTACTCTGCTGTCAGCTGAGACTTAATACACATCAATACATTAAAAAATAAAGTAGTCAATGGTGTGAAGTGAAAGGTACAAAGACAGTAAAACTTCCTTTGAAGAACACATTCTTTTAAAAATTACACAATTAAAGCACAAAACAGTTTTTAAAAAAATGAAAACCAAAACACTGCAGATGTAGCTGTTATCCTTGCCATGACTGTTGTGATCTCCTCCCATGCCTTCAGAAAACCAACCTCTGTTTTTTGGCCTGTGGCCTTCTAGATTTTTTTCTCTGCTTTCACATAAATATCCACAGAAAGGGAGATTTTTATTCTATTAACACCAAGAAAAGAACAGATAACGCTTAGAGGCTAAAAGCTTAAAATATGAAAGAAAAAAATATTTTTGTTATATGGTATATAGGGCATGTAATATGTCTGTGTTCTCTTATATAAGCGCAATCTCACAACTTGTTGCTTTCTTGTTAACAATATCTTAGAGACATTTATATTCATTTCAAACAAAGGAACCCCACTTCACAATAACATAAGGAAGAGCAGACAGGAATTTATTGGCCCTCACACCTGGAAGCCCATGATTGATCCAGGCCCAGCTGTATTCAGGGTCTTATGCAATGTCCTACCTCAATGGTCGGCAAACTCATTAGTCAACAGAGCCAAATATCAACAATACAATGATTGAAATTTCTTTTGAGAGCCAATTTTTTTTAAAACTTAAACTTCTAATGCCGCTTCTTCAAAATAGACTCATCCAGGCTGTGGTATTTTGTGGAAGAGCCACACTCAAGGGGCCAAAAAGCCACATGTGACTTATGAGCCGCAGTTTGCCAACCACTGTCCTACCTCAACCCTCATTTTCTTCAGCTGTCAGCTGATTTTCTGTTAGATTCATTCTCAGTCTGGCTTAAACTTTATTCCTTTAATGGCAAGATGGTTATTAGCAACTCTATGCTTATTTCTCACAACTTCTCCAGAAAATGTAGACATTTTCTTCCTTAACAGTTTTAACAAAAGCCAAGAATAGTCTCAGTGGCTCAGAATGGTGTGACTTGGGTCACAATTCCGCAAACCCATAGCTGTGAATTGAAGTATATGATTCGTAAGCCTTTGTTTCTAGGGCTCCTTCCTGGAACTATCCCATCCTCACTGTGTTTGAGATCTGGGAGGGGAGCTCCCTGGAAAACTCGCTATCAGAAAAGGGGTAGTAAAGGCTGAGCAAGTTTTATTATTTCGTTAAGTGGGTGGCTTTTGAATATTTAGATAAGAAAGTAATCACTAGAAGCATAAATTACTAAGAATGGTCATTTAACTGAGACACAGACTCTGAAACTGTTTAGAAAGAAATCTACAGTATCTTAAATTTTATTCTAACTCATAGAATAGAAATAGAAATGTCAGTGATCCTCTTCTGATAAATAATGAAAAATTCTAAATTTTTAACACCTTCTAGATAACCTATCTATTTAAATATTACCTGGGCAGTACATTATTTAGTAAGTCAGCCATTTTTCATTCAGATTTGCAGAAGTTAAAGGTTACTGTGACAAGATATAGCTACGATCTCTGAAATACATGTGTCTTAAAGGCTTCTTTGTTCAACATAACATTAGTAAGGACTTTTGTGGTCAGAAATGTATCAGCTTTTCTTTTTGGAGTTGTAGGAGAAAAGATAACATTTTCTCCATTCTATACTGCAGTTTTCTTTTCTCAGCAACAAAAAATTGTTTATAATTTTAAGGCAAATCTTTTATGCTTTACTAGTATTAGTTAGCATTGAGGAAAGAACAGGCAGGACTTAGAGGGTCAAAATTTATTATGAAAAGGAAAAAGGCAGAATAAGATTTTTAAGACATGGTATATAGGACATGTAATATTATATATCTTTAATTAAAAAAAAATGGTAGGAAACTAATCTGACTCCCTTTCTAATAGTATTACTAGCCTAACAAGTACATCCTTACTTCAAGGAATTTGGTAGATTCTCTTTTAATTTTTTTATGAGCAAGATAGAGAAATGTGAATTGCACAGTTAATTGTGAGTTGCACAGTGAATTCATATTTGGGGAGCAGTCATACAGCAAGAACCTATTTATAGATTGATATTAACTTTAAGAGAGTTCTCTTAAGGCAAAACATGTTTTTTTGTACTTGATCATGTTTGTTTGGTATTATCATAAATTATTTAAATAACAAAATTGTAGGTATGCTTATGAATTTGTGAAAGACAAAAAGCTAGAAGTGATATAAGAGAGTTCATAGCCCCATCTATTTTGGTCAGATCAGATCTAGAGTTTTATAGCCACTTCTGAGTATAACAGTTAAACAGATTATATACCTATAAATAAACAACTCAAGTGAAAAAAAAATAAAAGGAGGAACTTTATTGATAATGGTAGAGAATCAAAGGGAAAGCAAACAGATTTAGAAGCTATCTGGCCACTATCTTATACGATGAGTGCATTAGGAAGGTGGGAATGCTGTCACTCTTTGTGGAATGATGCTGCTGCCTTTGAACTTGAGCTCTCCTTTGCAAGATAAATTAGTTATTCTGTGATATCCTGCAGCAGCATTTCTCAAACGTAATACATCACACACCTCCTACATGTAATACCTGTATCTGTTTTGTGAAGCACATTTTGAGAAACACCACATCCCATAGAGTCTGATTTTTGTTGGGGACAGAGGAGGGAGAGGTGGTCTGACAGAAGCAAATTTTTGATTCAGCATAATAAAGAACAACTTTGTAATTTGGAAAATGATTGTTGGTGACTGAGGTAATAGTAAAGAAGTGTTAAGCTGCCCGCCAAAATCTGTGTGTGCCAACTTCAATTATCAGTGGTTAAAGCAGGAAGAATCATTCTAATTTTTATGAAGTCTGCTCCTCCAGAAATAAACTGTGAAAAGATCTTGTTTAGATATATGCATATGCAGCATAGGAGTCAAATTTTACATAACAAATTAGGGAAATTTGAAGGCATTTGGAACATTTAAGAATCATCCATATTTTTCATCATGTTTTTTAAAAATAGGTTCACCTAGTAACTGAAGAAGAGGAATCGGCTAATGCATATGCAATACATCAGGTAAATTTGCTTAAAAAGTAGTATTACTTAGATTTAAATGTAGACATTGTCTCCAAAAGACAAAAATGTGACCAGTTCCCCTCTCCCACTTTTTTTTTTTTTTTTTTTTAACCACTTTCCAATTTAGGTATAATATATATATTAATATATATATATTTCACTCTCCTAAGTTTACATTTATATGAGATTTCATAAATGTATTACTGCCATATGACTACCACAAAAATCAAGATAAAGAATAGTTTCATCTCTCCACAAAATTTCCCTGTGCACTTTGTAGTCAACCCCCATCCCTGGGCAATAACTCATCTACTTTCTATTCTTATGATTTTGCGTTTTAAAAAATGTCATATAAAAAGAATCATATAGTATAATAGAGGCCCAGTGCCCGAATTTGTGCACAGGATTCCCTTGGCCTGGCTGGCAATCAGGGCTGATTGGGGCTGTTCACCCAGTCCTAATTGGGACTGATTGGGGCTGGCCAGCCATGGGAGGTTGACTGTGGGAGCGCTCTGACCACCAGGGAAAAGCTCCTGCACACTGGCCCCTAGTGGTCAGTATATGTCATAGCTACTGGCCAGTTGTCCAGTCATCTGGTTGTCCAGTCGTAATGGTCTCTTAGGCTTTTATATATATAGATGGCCTTTTGTTCTGGCTTCTTTCAGTTAGCATAATGAATTTGAAACATTAATATTGTGTGGATTTGAGTTTTTTTTACCTTATTTCTTTTTTGACTCCCCTGTGGTACTGTTCAAGAAAAATGCCTAGAGGTCATCAGTAAAAGAGAAAACCCCACAGAATGCAGTATCTACTCATAAGTGGCTGAGAAAATAAACATTACTTTTGCTGTCTGCTATTTGCTTTTGTGTTTTTAAATCAGTAAGAGGAATGTAAAATTATCAACTAAAATACCAGTTGAGCAGTAGAGGTTATTCTTTGTGTTACAGAAAGAATATGCTTTTAAGATTGTATGACTGCACAGAGATTAAGTCTGTTGGTTAACTAAATGTACCTAAACTTCTTGTTCCATCTCTTCTACCTTAGCAATAGTTTGTCTAATAATATCTGACTTGAATTGGTTATCTGGTTCATTATGAATCCTTCTTGATTTTAGGTAGCTCTTTTCTTTGTCTGCTAGCATAAAAAAAATAATCAAAGTAGTATATAGCATTTAATAGTACGTTTTAGGCTGATGGAACGTTTATATTCTGAGACTGTTTTTTATTTTTACAGATCTAGGACCCAGTCATAAAAGTAATTTTAAAATTTGATCATATATTTTTCTGAAGGCTATTTCATGTATCTTTTTACCTCCTTCCCTTATGCAGGTGGTTCTTCCAGTGCTTGGATATAATGTTCAGTACCCAAAGAACAAAGTAGGGCTGTGGTACCAGGAAGTACTTAGCAGAGATGGACTACAGACATGTAGGTTTAAAGTACCTACTCTGAAACTGAACGTCCCAGGATGCTATAGAAAGATTTTGAAACAACCTCGTAATCTCTCATACCAACTAATAGAAGAACATGATATTGATGTCAAAGCAGAAGGTTCTCATATTGATGGAGCGACTTTATCTCTTTTGATTTCTTTTGATCTTGACGCTTCATGTTATGCTACTGTTTGTCTGAGGGAAATAATGAAGCATGACTTTTAAAACCAGTATCATTGATATACCATGCACATGTTGTTCTTCAAAGGAAAGGGAGCTAAAATTTATTTGAGTGTCTGCCATGTGCTATGAGTTTTATAATTGTTATCTCCCTTAGTTACACAATATCCCAATAAAGTAGGAATTTGCTACTAACATTCCAGAAGACATATATGCTAGTAAGTGTCAGGGTCTGAATTAAAGACTCCAAAACCTGTATTTCTTATCTATTATCTGATATTTCAGTGATCTTTATTGTGTTATAAAAGTTACAATCTTTCTGGACTATGAAGAGCATATATAATACTGTAAGATAACAGTTAAGAAAGAATGCTTTTAGAGTATTGTTTATATCCTTTTGCTTCTTGCTTAGAATATAAATGAGATCAGATTGTAATGAAAGCATGTAGCTGGAGATAAAGATAGATGAAGCATTTTGTTAACTGCTATTGTCATTCTTTCACATTTGATATTATCTATCAGAAAAATACATCGTGGAAATGTATTCCCTTTATTTATGATAGCTACTTCAGTGTAGTGAACCATTTTATGAGATAAATAATCTTCAATTAATATTGAAATAAACTTTTTATACCATTTCTTTATCTTGTCATACATTGACCTCCCCCTTTCCTCCTCCATCGATTATCTAAGCATTGATTTTAGAGTCAGGCAGATCTGGCTGACTCCATATCTGACACTTACTAGTGACTTTGTGTGTGTTACTGATTTTTTTTTTTTTTGAGCACTTAAAGAATCAAGTTAGCACCAATCTCATCAGCAACAAATAATTGGATTATCTCTATCTTTTATGTTACTAGAGGAAGAAAACATTTGGCCCATTAAAAAATTTAAATATTTGTTAGGTTAACTTATTTCACATCATAAATCATTCCTAACCACTTTATTTAATAAATTAAATTTTGGGGGAAATAGGAATATCTGAGCAGTCTCTAATTTCTGGTAGCTTTATATAGTGAAATTTTAAAAAGCATTATATATTATATATCAATAATGTGTAACATATATACTTTAAGTCGGTCAAACCATTTTGGGAATATTAGCACAAGAAAACAAAATGCAAAAGAAAGAAAAGAGCTACATACAATGCAAAATTTGCTTATTGCAGTATTTTATATATAATGAAAGAAATTAGAAATAGTTGGAAAGTCAAGCATTAGATAACAAAAGTAAGTAAAATGAGACCTACCAACTTGATGGCAAAACATGTTAATTACTAAAAATGATGATGATCATTTTAGTTACAAGAAAATATTACCCCTTAAAAGCTGAACATATATTACAGCTGCGGTACATACACTGAATGCAGCTTTTTCCCAGGAGAGACACTTAGCTTAGTAATTAAAAGCATAGATAGTGAACACAAAATCCCCCAGTTTGAACCTTGGCTCAGCCACTTTAACAGCATGCTATAATATCTTGGACAAGATATTTAAGTTTTATGTGCTTAGGTTCAATATCTATAAAGTGGGGATGGTAATATCCCTATTTCTTAGGTTTATTGTGATGATTTGCTGCATCAATATATGTAAAGCAGCTTAGAAAAGTGCCTGACACTTGTTATTAAATAAATATAGATTGGAAAGGAACAGGAAACAAAAATGAAAATGAGCCAAAACTGATTTGGCTCAGTGGATAGAGCATCGGCCTGTGAACTGGAAGGTCCCTGGTTCGATTCCAGTCAAGGGCATGTACCTTGGTTGTGGGCACATCCCCAGTAGGGTTGTGCAAGACACAGCTGATCAATGATTCTCTCTCATCGATGTTTCTAGCTCTTTATCCCTCTCTCTTCCTCTCTGTAAAAAATCAATAAAATATATTTAAAAATATGAAAATGATATTCTGTTGAGATGATAGGATGTTTGGTTTTTTTTAATGCTAAAAAGTTCTTGTTTTGTCATTATATATTTTAATAATAAGTGTAGGACACAAAAAATGATGATTGTACCATGGATTTTAAAAATTGCCTCTATTTTAATGGCAATGATGATATACTAGGTAGTAAAAATTTTAGAGAAAATGTTTTACTTTATTTGATGACAAATTATATAAATACATTAATAAATAAATTATGTAAATATAATCACAAAATTAATTATGTAGATTGTTAAATCTCATTTTTCTTTTTAAACATTGAGTAGCAATTAGAAAATGTGAAAGCATAAAATGTGCGGTCATTAAGAGTCTTTTCTTTGCCTGTAGATGGCACTATAATTTTAGATATCATTATTACTTTGGCCATGTGTAAAGAAAGGGTCACTAAACTTGTTTCAAGCCATCATAAAATGTATTCAGATACTGTACACGTGGATAATTATTTTGTAAACCAATAACATTTGCCACGTTCACTTTTTTTTCAGTTTAAGACTTTTAAGATATTTTGGACCAAATGATGACCAGGTTTTTAATGACCAGTTTTTCAGGGGCATGTTAGGCTTTCAAAAGGATGAATTTTAATTTTCAAAGTTGCATCTGAAACTGAGCCATAGTGCCTCAGAATTACTAAGGTAAAATAAATGGAGATATTTTTATTAAGATTAAAACACCTGGATTTTTGTGAGTTTTAATAAACTGAAAGTCATATGTAACTTTTGATACAAATATATATTTTTTGATTGTCTGTTGTGCCAAGCATTTCTCTTATTTTAATTCATATACCCACGAGTTAGATAGGTAGTGTTTTCCTGTTTTTTGCAAATGAGAAAATACTGAGTGATTTACTGACCTATCAAGGCCAAACAAGCTAGTATGTGGTTGAACTTAATTGTGCTTCCTAAATCACTGTTTTCATCTACCTAACAGATGCCTTCTGCAAATAAGTTTTTTTGGTTAATAAATTTCATTCCTACCAACTTGATATTACTTGCCATTTATTATTTGGTATATTGGAGCAGTGAGAAACAAGATTTCTTTTGAGATTCTGAGACCAAAATAAAAATAAAGGAGATTGATTCTTCAGGAAATTCACAAATCATTTTCTAGATTACCTTGGGACTTGTATCATAAACACAGGCAAAATCATTATAGGTAATAGGAAGTTATTTGAAATTTTACCTGGCACAGTATTAGATGTCATTTAAAAAGTACTTTGGAGAGAGTTGCTTTTCCCCCCGATTCTCTTTCAGTTCTTTAACCAATCATTCTGTTTAAGACAAGGAGAAAGCGGATTGTTTCTAGTTAACGTATATCATTGCCACTTGCTGATGCACTCTTTGAACAGAGACAGTGCAGGTTTCGGGCTCAGGAATACCGGCAGGCAACAATATCAATCCGAATTTAATAAGATCACTTTGTTTTATTGAATTTATTTTTCTAGTTATCTTTTTTTATTTATGGCAAATAGTCCATATAAATTTCCCACTTACATGATGTTTCTTAAAAAAATTAATTTTAAAGAAAGTGAATCAATTTAAAGACATTAAGTGTAGCTATAGCAGCAACAGAACAAGAATGCTTGAAGTTTGGGAAATGCTGGCATCGCTTTGAGAACCTGAACTCAGAGAGGGACCCCACCACTGCATTCATCTGTGGCTTTACCCACCCACTGGATTTCTCTGTTGTGAATTCAGATTTGAAATAATATCAGTAATCATTTCTCAGTCTTGCATCAAACAAAATAATGGAAGATATACAAATTCAAGATAATATGAACACATATACTGATGATCACATGCCATGTCTTAAAATTTCACTGCTGAGCCTTTATTTTAGAAAATCTTATGACACACTAAGATCAGGGTCTGACATCTAGTTAATTCTCAATAAATGGCAGGTAGTGTTTTTATGGATATTATCTCATTGTTCTCTCTGATGAAAAGTTTTACAATTGAATGGTTAATGACTTTCCCTTGAGATCTGCTCTTATTCTGTCTTAACATAAAGTAATTATAATTCAGCACACTTTTAGATTTATTTTATGGTAAGTGGAAATAGCTATTTCTAAACCTGGGAATTCAGCAGTTCATTCAAATTAAGATCTTTTAAGAAAGATCTAGGTCAGTGTTCCTCAGTATTTTCCATCTGGGAACTTGCCATTAAAGGACCAAGAAGAAAATGAAGCTCTGTCTCACAATGCAGAGTTTTCTTGCATTAATATAAGGAGAGTGGAAGAGGTTAGAGAAAAATATGGGGAGTAATAAGGAAAATAGGACTTTTCATTGTTTCCTCTATTTACTTCTAAAATGTTTGGGTTTTTAAACAAAAATTACATTTGTTATTAACTTTGCAATTAAAAACCTTGAAGAATACTTAAGGTTCAGAGAGGGTCAGGTGAAGCAATTGATGGATGACGCTTGCATTTTTTTCAGAATGCTTCTGGCTCAGGCCAACCTATTGCCAGAGAGAGATTTGTGCATTGTACACTTCAATAGCACTAATGGTAATTAACATCATAGTGTAAAGTTTAATGCCTGTGCTATGGCTTTGATTAAGATTCAGAAAGATGCTTAGAGATAGCTTGGTGTCTCATGGTACTGTTTTAATCATTTTGTGTGTGTGTGTGTGTGTGTGTGTGTGTGTGTGTTAAGCCCTCTGCTTAATGCATTTAAAAAAATTCCTTTATGGATAAAGGTATTACATATGTATCCTTATCCTCCTATACCTGTCCCCTCCCCCCCTCCACCCATGCCCTCACTCCCCTGGTGTCTGTGTCCATTGGTTAGGCTATAAAGTCCTTTGGTTTTATGTATTTTTTTGGTGAATCACAAAGCAATGCCAAATATATGACATAATAATCAACAAAAATTTGAGTGTCCCCAAGTTAAAGACACTCTGTAAGATGTTATGAGGAAAGACAAAAAATAGATAATCTCCTTGCCTTTAGGAATTATAGTGTTATACCTTTAAGCTATCATTTGATTTGAAATGCTGTCTACATAAAGAAAATACAGACTAAATGGCAAAGACAAAAAGCAAGCAGCTTTCTTCCATTTCACTGTGGCTCGCTATATAACCAATAATGTTACTTGACCTCTCAGAACCTTATT